TTGATCACCTTGCTGCAACATTTCTTACTTCTCACAACATTGCACATGGGATCAATTTGAGAAAGTCTCCCGTACTCCAGTATCTGTATTATCTTGCACAAGTGAGTAGCACTGTTGAATTTATCTGCCGATACTATTTATTTGTTGCCATCATCTGCCAATACGAAATTTGTACCTTATGTGTTTCACTGGTATTTGTTCAGATCGGTCTGGCCATGTCTCCTCTGAGCAACAATTCTTTATTTCTAGACTATCACAGAAATCCATTTCAACTGTTTTTCCTAAGGGGTTTAAATGTGTCTCTTTCCACGGATGATCCACTTCAGATCCACCTCACTAAAGAACCTTTGGTTGAAGAGTACAGCATAGCTGCATCAGTGAGTTCTCTTGACCTTTTCCATACCTCTCTTTGAACTTCATGATCTCGTGAAGATAATTGTGCTTGTGAGTGTTGAAATTATACTAATGTTTTGTTTTTGCAGGTTTGGAAATTGAGTTCATGTGATCTATGCGAAATTGCTCGAAATTCTGTACTGCAGTCAGGTTTCTCGCATGCTTTGAAGGTACATGCAAATGCAGATTTATCAAATTTACGAATGTTAAACTAACTGGAAGTTGGTTCCTTACCAAAAAAAAACTAACTGGAAGTTGGTTTAGAGTAGTCTGTATTGATTCCGTTTTACAAAAGTTTGAGGTGCAGCTCCTGTACTTCTCAAATCAACCGGGAAATTCCTTTTAGGGGCATTTGAGATTTCCAAGTTATTACCCGTTATATTCTCAGTTGACTAGGTGTTCTGCAGCATGTGGATGTATGTTGTTTTTAATGATGGAAAATGTGATGTGTGGTTATAAGTTGGATCTGATTCAAACAGTCAAATTTGATTTCAGCATGATGAGCTCATTCTTTATTTTCTTTGTTCAAAAACTTTGCTTTCCACGTGTTTAAATGACTCTCATGCTAAATCTGAATCCAATCAGGAACCATGAACAATTAATTTTTGCTTGTTTCTGATATCAAAAAAGCCACATCGTTGACAACTAAAATGGATGGGTACTTCATGTGCTGGATGACTTTGGAGGAGTTACTAATGAATAATTGTCTGGCATGATTACTTGTTTGCTTACCCAACTCTTTCTATGCACTCCATTCTATGAAGGTTCCTGAAGTCAGTTTGAATGTACTGCCTTCAATCTTCCGCATAAATGAGTTACTGTTGGATTGCATATTTTTGCGGTGATTACTAGGCATCATTTGCTAACGGTGCTTCCTATTGATCCTCTGAATTTATGTTTCAGTCTCATTGGATTGGGAAAGAGTACTACAAGAGGGGAGCAGATGGAAATGATATCCGCAGGACAAATGTGCCTCATATCAGGATTGAATTTCGTGATATGGTATGGGTTTTTGATGCTAGTTTTCTCCCAGTGATTCAAAAAAGCTGCTTCTTTTTCTAATACTCATTTTCCGTTTGTTATCTCTCCTTTTAAAGCTACTCTTTATTGGATTGTTTACTTGTAACAATCGGCTACAACTATGATATATCTGAATAGAAATTCCAAAACAAAGTAAATCAAACATGAACTTCATAGAATTTACAATAAGCTTCTGTGGTAAATGAAAGGTATCTGTGTTGGAGAAACAAGGTCTGCATGAATAGACTTGCGCGTTTTCTTTTTAAGTCGAATAGATGGGCCGGATAGCAGGGATTTTGCTTTAACCTCCCGAGTTTTATTGGCACCACTGCTTAAAAGCTTAATCTGCTGAGCTAACATGTTTCTTTTTAAGGGAAACTTCCACCGTTAAAAGTTTGCTACGTGCAACTTAGAGGGTCATCTATTTGGTACTTGATTAAAGTAGATCAAGATGGAAGTAAGTGGAAGCTCATGCAATTGATTACTTTGCAGATCTGGAGAGAGGAAATGCAGCAAGTTTATCTAGGCGAGGCGATCACCCCCGAAGAACTTGACATCAAGTGATTGGAAGGGATATGATATATGTCTTGCATGAATAGTTGGCACAGGATGCTGTGCGAATAAGGTTGGTTTCATCATGATAGATTGTGATATCACTCGATTCATTCATCCTCATAAGTATATGAGCTTTCCATTCCTCTAGCACTAACAGCCCGATTTTGTGCAGAAGTTTTGCTTGCTTTTTTACGATAAACCAAGAGAATTTAACTGAAATTTGCGGACGATCTGAGCCTTGTACCTGAGGATGTCGAGCTTCGCGTGGTGCACGTGCCCCTCTCATATATAGTTTGGAGCCTGCCCTTGGGAAAGGATGGCCATCCTGGGGAAGGATCATTGACTAGAGTTTCTGTAATTTCTGCCATAGAAATAGTACAATTTTCGATATTACACCTGCCAAATTTTGTCCCCTCAAGTTGTCGTGTAAGATGCTGTCATAAACGGCAAGATGCAAAACTGAATGCTTGATGATTTCGGGCATAGTTGCGGTCCTTTTTGGCTACAATTTGGCGTGCTACTTTTGTGTTGTGCCCTCTCTCTCTCTCTCTCTGTGTGTGTGTGTGTCTCTCTCTCTCTCTCTCTCTCTCTCTCTCTCTCTCTCTCTCTCTCTCTCCTCTCTCCCTGGATGTGAACTGCTAATTATTTGATGCTTGGCCACATTTTTTCAATTGTCATGGATGGGCACCTTCAAGTTGCTTGAAATTCTCCACGAGAATTTAGCATTCGAAAACGTCTCCATTTGCGTTTTATTGGGACTGGGCATCACCACAGAGAATCAGATGTGATGTTAGGTGCAACGCCAGTGGCATGGCTTGGCTTTGCCGGATTATCGGTACTGCTGATGATAGATGCAGATAAATCTACTCTCCTCCATTGTGACTAGGGAGGGTGAGCATCGGGGCCAGCCCACAGATTCTCAAGTGAAGCAGTCTGATTCTCAGATGATCTTACAATCGATGGGACCAGAATAGACCCTGACGTGATCAAAATCCCCAGTTTAATCGAATTTTTAGTCTCTTAAAGAGACTAAGCTGCGACTATTATGAGAAGTTGGTAAATACCAATTCATATGGCAAACTGTTAAGTGAGTCCTTCAACCAACGGGTAACATTTACCGCTACATCATACAATATTGGATTCCAGGGTTTCTTATAGCTTGAACTTCCAATGAAGACGTGATTGGTGATCCGAAAATTCGCTGTGACGATTGCAACCTTTTTCCTACAAATTTTCATTTTTGTAGACGGGATCAGCTATTGGGATATCGAGTTCAAGAGGTCTCCTCTCTCTCTCTCTCTCTCTCTCTCAATGACTCTTCCACCCTGTAATTTCTGCCATCAAAACCTCATAACGGCAGTTTAGTTTGTACTCTACAAGAGTGTTATCACAAATAGCATATGCTATGTAGATGTTTCAGGTGGTTACAGTGAAGGGGAAACAGAGGAAGCAACTGCACATAAGTCGGGTAATTGTTGACCGTGACTGGTATGTCAATATGCTAAAAATGAGAGACGAGTTTGCGGTTGAGATCTTCCATTTCTTGTATTTTTTTTTTCTTCTGAAGTTTGGAGGATATCATTCTTGTATTCTGCTTTGTAGTTGGTATTATACGTATTGTCCCGGTGTACGTCAAAGTTCAAAAGCTCTTGTCAAGAATTTGCAATTATCGACTTGTGCAACTACCAAAATTGAAGAAAGATTGAAGAGTTGTTGCTGCTGGGTATCAAACAGAAGTACCTATGAAGCAATGCCAGTCATTTGGTTTTTAGTTTTGATCAATTTAAGCAGGTGCGTTATGTCAATCGAATTCCTAAGGGCACTGCATGCGCGTGTAAAGCTGTTTACTGTCTATTATTGGTTTCTCTGTGCAGAGGATCCTGATGTGCTACAAGGTGATAGATTTAAATAAGAATCAAAGATCCCGACTCTGCTGGTCATATTGTTTGTTCAAAGTAGTAGTAGTAATCTATTGGGGGGGGTATCTAGTAGTCTGAAAATGTGCTTGAAATGTGTTCCAAATGCTGGATGCTCCATTTCCGCAATGAATTTTTGTTTTTTGTTGAAGGGGTCTACGAAACATCGCCTTCATTTCACATCAGGCGAATGCTGTTGAGGGATTTTTACCGTCATCCAAATTGGATTTATCCGAAGATTTCCGATCGCTGCTTTCACTACATGCTTTCGATGGAGTAGGATATTCTGATGAAAGGGCAGAGAGAGATGCTGGTGAAGCTCAGCTGAGCTGAGGATCACATGGAAGAGATTCCACGAGCTTTCCCAAAGAGCTTAGACAAGAAGAGATCTGATGAGCATGTAGATCCCACTGAACCTATCGTCAGGTTCTATTTACGGTCCTCAAAAGATGTCTGATTGGAACTTATTGGGACCTCTCAGTTTTTATGATCATGTTCTATTGCTCTTCTCTAAATTAAAATCTCGTCATTCTATTACGATTTCTTCTACAGTCGAATCGACTATGCAGCTACATAATGGAAAAATAGGAGACATAACTTTCCAGTACAAGTGGCCAAAAAAAAAACAAAAAAGACAAGAAAGGAAGAGAACTGGTCAAAGCATATTAAGTGGCAAAGGTATGCTTTTAGAATAGACTGGAGATTCATTTGGTGATCCTTATTGTTTTGGTAAATTATGACCGATTTAACCAAAGTTAACTGCAGTTAGTTAACAAAGGATGGAAAGTGGAGCCACACTATGAAACTCGAAGGTACAAACTTGGTACTTTCGAATTAGAGGATGATAAGTGAATAATAGGATGAAAAGTGAGGATGATTTTCAGTATTTCCCTAATTCATATGATACGAATTTCTAAAATTTCGTTACAGACTATGCTTTGTCCAGGCCAAAGAGCTGTCAAATACTTCTCAGCCGCACAGAACAAGTAGCAAAGCATCTTGTGCTCGGCACAGCCACCATAAACCCATCATGACGTTAAGGCGTCCCTGTAGTCCCGTTCATCGGATAATTCAATGAACAGCCAAAACACATAAGGATATCGCTTCTACCAACAGTTGAACGCGAACATATTCTTCCTCTTAATTGTATGGAAAAGATAAAAGTCCATAAGTTCCACAGACATCTCTACTCTTACAAAAGAAATGTTCTCGAGGCGTCAGTATCCCCAACAACGGAGCAAACAACTCGACAACCAAATCGGTATCAAAGCAGCCATTAGTCAGAAGACAGAAACTAACAAATGATGCAAGCAACATTCGCTGCCGTGCCTGAAAGAAACTCTTCGAGTTAACCCGTGTTCGCTACCCAAAAGAATAATTTACTTTTGCTTTTTGTATTGCTTTATTTCATTGATCACGCCATCTGTAAGTGCATCGACATCATTATTCTTGCCGAAAAATTTCACAAAATTCATATCTGGACCCATCAAGTACCTGCAAAAAAGCTATAATGAGGTCCAGCAAAAAATCAATCCATTTTAAGCACTCCCAAGAAAAATGAGTGGGGTGAGAGATATGCAAAGGCATCGACAGTGATTATTCAACTTCGATGATATGAAGAAGATCTGATAATATCAAGTCACACAGAAAAATCTGTTTAAAATTTACTACATGCTGATCTCACTGCAGTAGTAACCACAGATAAAACAAGTAAGCAGCCAGATTGAATAACAAATGCAGGAACAGTAATACATACATGACTATTGAGTGATCGACAAGATAATCCGAGTCTTCCTCTGCCGTTTTCATATAGTAAACTCGATATGCACGAGCAACTTTTTTTATCTCATCTGGAGTACCGGTCAAGCCAATTAAATTTGGATGGAACTCTGCAACAGAAGTACCATACCATAGAATTAAACTATGCTCTCCAACGTTACTAAGTTAACCACTTTATCTGAAAGGAAAGAAATATTTCCAGCATTGATGCAACACCTTTGACATATTCATGGACCTGCTCGACAGTATCTCTCTCAGGATCAACAGAAATAAAGACAGGCACGATGTTGAACCCTGCTTTTTCTTCTGCAGGCATCAAAGAAGAAACCTTGATGTATGATAATCAGTAGAAAATATACTTAAACAAACTTAAAATATTCAAAATCTTAAAAGGCATGGTATGTTTGGCATTTTGAATACCGACAAATAATTCAAGAGTTTCCCTTAAGCAAATTCTGACCACAGACTAAGCATTCTTCGGCACTAAAAAGCAAATGTGCAGTACCCAAGAAGATTTGTGATTTACAAATTATGTAAAAGAACTAAGGGCGTGAAAATATGTAGAACAGATAGTGAGCAGTCAACGTAGCAGGGCAATAAAAGCACCAAAAGTCATCTGAAGTCAGGTTTTTAATCCAAAAAAATACTGTTTCAATCCAAGATAGGGTGTGACATATCAAATGACACCAATATGATGTTCCCTCTGTAATATGAAAGCTACCGAAGCACAAGCACAAGAAATCATCAGTAGCTTACTTATTTTATCAACTGCAGCTGCCAGCTTCAGTAGCTCATCCGGACAGATGTCGGGGCAGTGAGTAAAACCAAAATAGATCATCGTCCATCTCCCCAAGAAGTCCTTTTCAGTTACATTCTTCCCCTTATCATTAATAAGATTAAATGGCCCACCAATTGCAGCTTTGCCAACAGAAGGTCCTTGTTTGACTGCTTTTGAAGCATTACTTATATCTGCAACAATAAAACTTTGATAAGGAAGAAAAAAATGCAACAGCAGATGTAAGGATCAAAATAATTATCACATTCGACAAGGACATCTACTCAAATTAAAAAGTTAAAACTCCTTCTAAGTTGAAAGCTTGGCTGACGATTCTTGACAAATATGCACAATTAATGAAGACCACATGGCTCTTTCTTTTCGTTTATCTCACTCAGCTACCATGTCAACACCCTAATCCTTTACCGAGACTCTTTAAGTAATTCCTAAATCGTATCAACCAGCCTCAGACAATACAATAAACAACTAAGCAGCCAGAGGAATGTGCATATGCACCAAATCTACATGATATATTATCCAGATAACAGTGTCCACCACAATGAGACAAAAACAGTAACAAAAATGTAGGGCTACTCCATGCAATAATTACAAGAGATGGCTAATACATTTATGTAAGTTCACAATGCAAGGGGGCTACCTATAATATTTTTTCATAGGCATCATCATTTAAGGCTTTCACATCATCACTCTGTCCAAAGTCATATATAAGAGATGTACTTATCCTAGAATTATTAGCATCAGAAGTTGAAAATATGTATATAAAAGCCAATCTTCTTAAACAATGTAAGTATAACCAATAACAATCGGGTCGCATAACTCTTGAGTCCGGAATTTCACACACACACACACACACACACACACACACACACACACACACAACCCCCCTCCACAAACCCTCCCTCCAACCAAATCTAAGTGTCTAATGTTCCGTGTCCTCCACATCAGAAAACCCTCACACAGGAAAGCCTCAAGTAATTAAAAAGATCCACCCAAAAAATTAAGGGTGAACCAAATAAAAAAGAGGTGTCCGTGTAAAAGTAAACAATTAAAGAGAATGTAATTCTAGTCTTGCTAGGTAAGCTGAAATTAGAAGTAAAAGAATAACAAGAAAAGTAGTTATATATGTGGAAATCGCATCTTCAAGAGGCATATTAAATCTGCAATCCAATATTTCCTGCGACTAAAGCAAAAACAAGTTATCTTCATTAAAGCATCATAAGATTATTTAGAAGAAAGCCAAAATGAGTTCTCTTTTCTTCTCAAGCATGTCAAAATAAAGATGCAACATAAAAGAATAAAAGGAAGAGGGGCAGCCTCTTCTCCTCTCTTCTCATAAAAGCATCGTAAGGTTATTTAGAAGAAAGCCAAAATGAGTTCTCTTCTCTTCTCAAGCATGTCAAAATAAAGATGCAACATAAAGGAATAAAAGGAAGAGGGGCAGCCTGTTCAGCATAAATATAATCAGTGCGCAGATCACCCTGGTATTGATCAATGCCAGCAAACAAACAAAGTTCTATCATGTGTTCTGCATATTTTGTACATTTATGAGGAGATAAAGAGAACAAAGCGTCACTATTACTCTGGTGCGAAAACAATACTCGGAATTTTTAAAACAACTGTCGCATCTTATTATGAATACCTAAAATCCTCTAGAAATAACAGCAAATTGGTTAGGAATAAACTTAAATTTGGGAGAGAAGGCAGATATAAGTAAAGAAATGAAAAAATAACCACCGAAAGCCCTCATATCATATCTGATATTTTGTTAAACAGAGAAGATATAAAGAAATAGGATTAAGTTAGCCGGTAAATACATGCTCGACTAAATCAGTGAAATTGCATTAACATCAATATGCAATTAAAGTTCCATTTGCCGTATGGGAGCATGCCGAGAAAATTCCATCACGGGAAAAGATCATACGATCGCGAGAAAACAAACACTTTGCACATCAGCAGAAGCAAAAATCGACTTTGAGAAACAAATCCCACTACCAGACCCACGAGAATATACATAAGTACCTACTCACCATAGTAATCTACCTTCGATATGCTGTTTCTTTTCCTTGTCATAGTAAAAGATCAATCCTGCTCCAGTCGCAACCAACAGAAGAAAACTCAACCACGAAACAGGCTGCGAAGAACCGCACAATCACGCGTCTCGTCATTTAACAACGGCATGTACTCGAATAATCTCTCTACACTAGAAATTCTAAACAACATGAAGTAGAAAAAAGAGCGCAGAATATTACCCCTCCGCGCACAGGTTTGCCGGCATCGCCGCTTCGATTGGATCCTCCGGATTTCTCGTCCCCTCCACGAGTGGCCTCGGCGGGAGCTTTCGCCTCCGAATCTCCAGAACCAACAGCAGCTGCACTCGCGGCGGTCGAGAGGCACCTCGCGTACAACCGCAGCGACTTCACTCCAACGCCCGCAGGCACGAGCTGAAAGAAGGCAAAACGCAAAGAGCGGAATAACATAACCGAAGAACACAACGAGCAGCCAAAGCAAATCCGAAAGAAGAAGAGCGCGATCAAATCGAAATGATCGAAGCTAGCAACGCTAGCGAGCTTCGAATCAGCACTCATCGCTCGAGATCTGCTCCCACATCTTATACGAGCAAAACAAAGTCGAATACATTCCGAGACGAAGAGAGCATCAACCGAGACGGGGAGATTTCGAACACGAACCGGACGGAGGATCGGAGAGGATGGGCTCCGGACAGCCCCGGGCGGCGGCGGCGATGGCTCCGCGGGCCTGCCCGGCGGGTGGAGGCACCGCCGCGCGAGGCGGAGGCGGCTCGTGCTCCGGGATAGGATCGTCGCCATTGGAGAGAGCTTGAGGAGGAGGAGGAGGAGGATCGGAGGAGAGTTTCGAATGGCGATCGAGCTTGTTAAACCCTCCCCCCCACATCTCTGGGTTTGGAGAGGAGGACGAAGGAACGGAAGGGAGGAAGTTGTGGGCCTCTCGATGGGCCTCGTAAATGGGCTTGGGCCCACGTTCGACGGTTGGAAGCCCATTTGTTGCATTTTGCCTTAAGCCCAACAAAAAAGAGAAGGGGGAGAAAGATCATTCTGCTAAATGGCTTTTTTTGTCCGTGCACGCTTTGTTGACCGTGCTTAATAAGACCAAGAATTCGATTTGTAAAATATTAATTATCCATATTATCGAGATAATTGCTGCATTGGAAAATCGAGGATGTCTTCATATTTTGGGTCATGTAGATTGCTTGAATATCGCTGTTCGAGAAGTGGTAGAATTGCAGAAAACGCTACATATGGATGTTACCTTGCCCCTATCTGGTTTGCAACAGAGGCAGTCGACTTGATAACTTTCGAGTGTTTTTCACGCGTAATGTCTTCTTAGCCGCGGAAAAATGACCATTCACTCCGTGCAACTCTCCGTGTTTCATGGAGTCAAATGCTGATACAGACATTCAATATGTGTTAACTTTTACTGCAGCTAAAATACTAATCTTCGTGGAGTATTAAGACCAATTTCAAACCCGTTGTTTAGATGTACAAATGCTAGCCATAGACTTGGAAAAATTAAATTGGTTACAATTTTGACGAAACAGGTTCAGAAATCTTAATTGTATACATATGGGGCTAATGTTGAGAATTTTTAAGACTGCTCCTTCTGTCCCAAACTATTATGAGACTTATCCAACAAGAGTAGTGACAGAATTATAGCACCAGTCGGAATATTAAGTTGGAGTCAACTGATGCAGGAGCTTCGTGCAACTCAGTGCAAGGAAAATCCCATGTTTTGACATTCAAAATACTTACTCTTGTCAATCTGCGATGGCCAGTAAAATATCACATCCTATGGTAAAAGAGAATCACACATCCAGGATGAACTTGGAACAGAACCAACCAGCAAAAAAAAATGTACAAGCAGCTGTGGAGATTGGCTGAAAAGGTAATGTATGGTTAAAGAAGACTTTGAAGTACACTTAACAACTGCATACAAAGCGTACTGTATCGCCATTCCATTGAGATTTTGAAGGAAAATAATCAGAGGTTTAGTATATATGCACCAAATTAAGTCAGTGCTCTAACATTAGACACTACAAACAGGGCTAGACTGGCTTGTCTGAGTAGATTCAGATCACTTTGCCGTTAGCGTTGTCATTGCGACGTATCTGCTTCAAGTAAAGTTTCCTTAGAGGAAATCAATTCTCTGATGCGTAATTCTCCTGGTCCAAGTTCTCAGATCCTCTGCTGCAATTTCAAGTTAAAAAAATCAATGCTTTTCTTAGCAGTACTCAAGGAGGAAAATGATGCAACATCAGAAGTGGAAAAAAAACTATTACCTGGGCTCTGGATGCTTTGTCACAAATTCCATTGTTCCATTTAGGCCTGAGACACAAATTCGCTCATGAATTTTTTTCGTTTGCATCGTTGGAATCATATGTAATTAAGGAGAAGCTTGACTAGTCCAAACCTGAGAGATTCATGTCATTTTCTGAAAGAATTTCTGTAACTGTTCCTGGAGACTCTGACAGACACTGATGAGCCCCCAAATTGTTACCTCTTGATTCAGGAGAAGACCTGTGGACCATAACACTGATCATATATTGCTAAATAATTAACCATACGGACTGTAAAAACTGAAGCCATAGATAAACTTCTTAGCCAAAAATAGAAATAAGCTGAAATACAAGATTCGAGCATTAACATACTCTGAGATTGTTACTGGAGAAGCATCTGATGTTGGCTGGCTAGAAGTAGTCATCCCGTCGTAGTCAAAATCAAAATCAACTAAAAATTCAGAAAATGAAACTCCGAATGCTTCTAAGTTGGGAAAATCTATGTCAAAAATGTCAACGTCACTTTGAGATTGAGATGTCAAAGGATTGTCAGCCTGCTCTTTGCCCAAGCTAGTTGACACATCAGGATTATCAAAATCCAATCTTCCCTTAACATGTTCCCTTCTATGAAGTCTCTTCAAATCTGTCTTGGCTGGTGAGGTAGAAGAAACACAGTGGCTCCTCTCGATCGTGTAAAGGCCACCTTGCTTATAAGGGCTCACTGTAACTCTTTCGTAGGAAACCACAGTGCAGCGAGTTGGGGTGGCCTCTTGAGGTGTAGTATTGTTACTGCAGCCCGCATTTGAAGACACTTCTACCGAGGATGCAGATTTGTCAGTCACAGACGAAATCCCTTGTGGTGGCGTTTTCGGACCAGATGATTTTTTTGGAGTACACGGCAAAGGCTGATTGAACAACCTCTTAACAATACTGGACCCTTGAACCAATGAACCACTGATCACACTTTTCTGGGTTAAGCTCTGCACTGACCCGGAAAGGTTAGCATTTCCTTGATTAGTGCTGCCTTCAATTGACTGTCTAATTATACCTGCAGCTGCAAAAGACTTGGTAGTGAGAACAACTTTGAGATTGATTGTAGAGAAGTAAAAACCGCACTTTTCTTAGAAGCACCTACATTTGTCAAGCGACCTGCTTGAGGATGAAAGAGTGCGAGTTTTCTTTGCCAATGAAGTAGCTTCCGCTGAAGTGTTTGGGCCCTTCCTTTTGCCTGAATATGGTTGACCTCCTGAAGGCAGAGAGCACTTCTCCGGATTTAAACCGACCTTCGAGGACATGGATGGTGGCACAGGGGAGGGCGTATTGTACGCAGGACAACCTGACCACAACAAAACATAAGAAGAAAGACATTAACAGTAGTTCCCCCTCAACAACCATTGACCATTCATCTCCTGGTTTGTCATGCAACGGCTCCATGTCGACTTAGAAGAAACCAAATCTGCAAGTAAAAGAAATCAAGCAATTTTGCAGCATTGATTTATATCCTGAAAGAATCATTGTAATGTAAACTGTTTTGGTGCATTATCAGTTAAATGCCATTACAGCATTCATCGGTTTCATCAAATTCCGATATGAGTAACTATCCAATTGTACACCCCACAAAATTATTCCCCATCATCATAGTAAACTGTTGTTTCATACTCCATTAGAATCGGATCAGTACTAATTTCTATATCGAAAAGTCTCCCATCATCAAGTGTCACAAAATGGTGATCACCAATTCCTTCCATATTAGAAAAGAAGCCTAAAAATCAAACTGACACGGGACCTGCATGATTACTTCCTCAAAAGACAGCCCTCCAATCATTTCCCTCATTTTCTTATTGGTTATATGAATATATCACTCTCACTAGCTGAATCTTGCTAAGCTTTGAAACCCATTCGGCATCCATAGAACAGAAACCGCAATCTCCTAGGCATTTCGAAGTACAATCCCTGTTTTCATCATTGCCCAATCCAGATTTATCGTTCTACATTCAGCAAAACCAGGCCAACCCATGAGAATGCCAGCAAAAATTTGCTAAACAAGAATCCCGCCGCACGAATTACCATCCTGTTAGCCAGAGAAGAGTATTGACGGCCTAAAAAGGGCTCGGCTTTGTACCTGCGGGTGACCCGCTACTCGGGTTAGACGGAGGATGAGCAACCGCCAAATTGGCGACAGGAGGAGCTGGGATTGCCGGCGTGGGCGGACTGCCACAACCGGCACTGGCGTTGTAAGTGCTCATAGCGTCCTGCATACCCTGCAGCAGCGCCTGGATCCTCCATCGCTCCTGCTCCAACTGGACCCTCTCCTGGTCCACCGCCACCTTCTGCTCCTTCAAGCTGATGTACTCGTTCAGCATCGCATCCAACGTCAGCAACCCCTTCGGCGCCTACTCCAACCAACAAAACAAACATTACAAAAAAACAACAAAAACAAAAAAGAACAACACACATCGATCCTCAGATGTACAAGCGCTAGCACGTTCGCCGAGCCGAAGCCGCCACAAACAACGAGCGCGAAACGCACCCTTCGCCCGAGGCGTAAGCGCCGCGACGCGTGAAAGAGAGCGGGAGGAAGGCGAGAGCGCACCTCGTGGAGAGGGGACTTGGCGAGGAGGGAGGAGGCCTCGGCGCGGAAGGCGGAGCGGCTCTGCTTGTAGCCGCTGTCGTGGAGGTAGCGGTCGACGATGAAGGCGATCTGGACCGGCGTGACCTTGCCCTTGCCGACGTTGTCGGCCGGCTTCTTGCCGCCGCCGCCGCCGCCGCCGCCGCGCGGTTGCTTCCCCATCGGCGATGTTGCAGCGCGGAGGGAGCGCGGAGCAGAGAGAGAAAGTTGGAGAGAGAAAGTGCGAGATCTGAGAAAGATGGAGGGGAGGGAGGGAAGCTTTGTAGAGAGAGAAAACGCGGGAGCGTTTTGAAATTTTTTGGGAGGAGCTGCTCGTCGCGGTTATAATTTGCCATGAAATCGAGATGACAAACGCTGTCGTTTCTGCAACATCACCTTCGACGAAACATCTCTGGCTTGCTGATTCAAAATCAAATACACCAACTTTATCTTGAGTGATGATTTTGATCTTGAACTTTTTTTTTTTTTGGTAATCGAGGTGTCCGGGTCAGCTTGCGCGCACTTCGACTATTCCTCGGGGGAGACTAGCACAGCAACCCACCGTCATGGCCCCCCACTTAAATCACAAGTGCTCAACTGGGGAATCGAACCTGAGACCAGTGCGCCTACCCACACAATCCCAAGTACGCCCTAACCAACTGAGCTACCCATGGGTGGGTTGAACTTCTTTTTTGTCTCAATAAAAAGCACCAATTTTTACTCGAATTCAAAATCTGACCCCCGTGATGTGAAATTTTCAAATTGTTCGGGCCAGATTTGGGATTCAAGTGAAAGTTTGTGATTTTTTATGAAACAAAAAAAAAGTTTGGGCCAAAATTGTCACTCAAGATAAAATTGATGCTTTTTTTTCGAAATATGCCCATGTGGTCTCAAAACTCAACCAGTATTTCCTCTTTACACAAATCGATAGATATTCAAGTTTACCCATGTGTTTATATAATCAAGGGTTAATATCACGAGAAACCCCAAACTGGAACACCCGTGACAATTTTACTCTGAACTAATTTTTTGATTACCAAAAACCTCAAACTGGTACATGTGTGATAAATTTTCCCCGAACTATTTTTTTGACGACAAAAAATCCCAAACTAGTATACATGTGACAATTTTACCTCAAACTAATTTTTTGACCACTAAAAACCCCAAACTGGTACACCTGTGACAAATTTAACCTCCGTAAGTTTCCGTTAAATTTTACTGTAAAAATTGCTAAGTTTGATGACACGTAGTACTTGACGGGTGAATCAGTTTGGGGTTTTACCCTCTCTTTGTCACAAGTTTATCAATTTGTGATTTTTCGTGATATTAATCCAATTTAATGAAGGGTAAATTTGTTTTTGACCAAAAAAAAATGATAGGTAAATTTGTCACAAGTGTATCTGTTTAGGGTTTTTTATGGTCAAAAAATTAGTTTGGGGTAAATTTATCACGGGTATACCAGTTTGAGGTTTTTGGTGGTCAAAAAATTAGCTCGGGGTAAAACTGTCGCAGGTGTATCAATTTGAGGTTTTTAGTGGTCAAAAAATAGTTCAGGGTAAATTTGTCATATGTGTACCAGTTTAGAGTTTTTGATGGTCAAAAAAATAGTTCCGGGTAAAATTGTCACAGGTGTACCAGTTTTGGATTTTTCGTGGTATTAACCCTTATAATCAATTACTGTATGCTATGGTTACACTTGCGATATATCTAATCACACTGCATGATAATTTACATTTTGATAATGATACCATGCATGTCGTATTGATAGACGCGGTAAAGAAGAAAGGGGTAAGTGCATTGGAAGCCCTAAAACTTGTCACGAAAGTGTAATTTGAGTCCTAAAACTTTCAAAAAGTGCAATTAAGTCCTAAAACTTGTCAAAGTGATTCGATCAAGTACTTCCGTTGGTTGCATTTTTAAAAAAAATTTAGCACTCGATTGTACTTTCGTGATAAGTTTTAGGATTTAATTTAACTTTTTGAAAGTTTAAGGACTTAATTGCACTTTCATTGACAAGTTTTAAAACTTTCAATACACTCATCCCGGAAAAAAAAAATCCAATTTCCATTTGCAACCTACGTGTTGGCATCAAATGTTTGTCTGCGATGACAAGCACGATTCATTACCACTTGCATCGCCTACACGTTGAAGAGTTTAATGCTACTTTCTATCCTATTCAAAGAAAATTTTCCATCCCTAGTATAGATAAAGGTGAATAAAAAATTCAATATTTTCATATTAGTGTGCATTAGAGGCAACAAATTGATGGAGAGGTGAGGAAAAAGGCAACAAGCCCTAGGTCATATCCAAAGGCGACGGAAAAAAAAATGATTTTATCACGTTTTAGGTCTATCCTTAGATAATGAAATTTATTTTTGTTACCGTAGGTTTAAATTCCCTCCTCAATGGCAACAAAGTTTGATTTTCGTCCCCTAAGTTAGACCTAAAGAGACGAATGTTTGTCTCTGTAAGTTAAAAATTGTTCCATCTTTCGTCGAATCAATGGCGACAAAGCACAAACTTTGTCCCTTAAGTTGGGAAAATTTCGAATAAGGATCCGAAGTGCTCTAATTTTCTCAAATAAGAGCATGAAGTGGACTTTGTGTCAAATAAGAGCCTGAAGTGAACTTATATTCTCAAATAAGGACCTAAAGTGACTATAATAGTTTCAAATAGAGGCCTCACCCCGCCAGCTCCCCGACCAGCTAAATTTTCCAGCCGACCAAGGGCATTTTCGTCCAAAAACAATTTTAACATAAATTTTAGTTAAATTAGATTTAAAATTAAAAAAAAGTTAAAAAAGAAAAAAAGAAAAACAGGGGGCAGGGCTGGTAGCCAGCCCTCCTTGCCTGTGGCTGTCGCCTCGTCGCCAGTGGGGCGGCGACCACAAGCGGGGGTGGCCTCCCCCTTGTTTTTTTTTTTTTTTTTTTAACTTTAGCTTTTTTTTTCATTTTTTTGTTTGTCTTTTATGGAAAAAAACTGAAAAGGAAAAAAAAGAAAAAGAAAATCAAAAAAATTTAAAAGACGAAAATGCCCTTGACTCCGGTGAGGTGAGGCCATTTTTTGAGACTGAGATGGCCACTTCAGACCTTTATTTGAGACAAGGTTCACTTTAGGCCTTTATTTGAGAAAATGAGGGCACTTCGAGTTCTTATCTGACATATGATTTACTTTAGACCCCTATTTAAGAAAATAAGAGCACTTCGAATTCTTATTTGAAATTTTTGCTGTTAAGTTTGACTTAAGGCGACTAGCTTAAGAATTTGTTGTACGTGGTCGATCCTAAGATGACAAGAACTATACTTTGTCGCCTTAGGAGGGTAACCTAAGGCGACAAAAAATGGTGTCTTTTCGGCTTTAGCCGGCTTTCGACTCTATGGCCTTTGGGTAGTTTAATACGTCGACATTTAATTTTATAAAAGAAAATGGGGGTGTATACTTCGTGTACATTATAATGTCATTGTATTAAAATGGGGTGGGTGCTAAGAGCGAATTCATTCTATCGAAATAAGTTCAAGGTGGATTTCTCCCAAAGCAACTATATAATGCATCACAGAGAGCGAGAGAGAGAGAGAGAGAGCGCGCCGTCGCCGCTGTCGCCGTGGGCACCAATGAAGCGGGCGGCCGCTCTCTCTGCATGACCGCCGAACGACACCCCCCGGACCTCGGACGTGAGGTCGGCGAACTTGATTGAAGGCCTTGCGGGAGCGGAGAGAAGAAGCCATTTTTGTCTCTGAAGTTTTCTCAAGTCTCAGAATATGCAGTGTCACGTAATATATAGGACTGCAAAGCAACGAAACTGAATGTTTGAGATCATCTCGCTTTTTGCTTCCGGGAGCAAAACGAAACCGGAACAGCAACGATTCCCGATGGCCTAAACAAGAAGCTTCCGATCAAGATCTTCTGCGACTTTCAGCACGTAAATCACGAATAAGGGATCAGAGAAGATGGCATCTAAAGCAAATCATTCTTGAAGAACACGAAAAAGAAAATGATTTTGGTAAAGTGCCAAAGCACAACTTCATGCTGATGCAACGAGTCAACGACTATGATCATTGAAAGCTCTGAGCTTGGTAGAGTGACCTTCGATGGCTAAAATAGCATGCAAGGATGGCTCTCGAATCCTCATTTGCTAATGTAGTCCTAAATCCTGTGGCGATTAATCCTTCCGGTCAATTTTGGCAGGAAATCGCTGACGAGGTGGCGTATTAGTGCCGGCTGTCCTATTTGGCACTGCCAGCAGCACTGACGTGGGTAATTTTGCTAATTTTTTTTCCATTCTTTTTCTTTTCCTTTTCCTTTTCGTCTTCTTTTCTTTTTCTTTTTTCTTTTTTCCCTTGTACCCTTTGCCGGGCCGGCGAGGGCGGCCCTTGCCAGCCCAAGCACAGGTGTCCCTCGCCCGAGGCTGGTGAGGGCCAGGCGAGGGGAGGCCAGTAACTTCCGCTAGCCATCGACGAGGCTTGGCGATGGCCAACGAAGGTAAAAAGGAAAAAAAGGAAAAAAGAAAAAGAAAGCAAAAGCAAAAGAAAAAGAAGAAGAAAAATTCACATATGTAACCATACCAAAGAAGTACAATTCTTTGGGAGTCCTTTCAAATCATATGTAACCATGTCATGAGTTTCAAGAATACTTCAAAAAATGAACAAGTTAGAATTGGGTTCTTGTGCTTTAAATTTTTTGAAGTCTTAACTTCAACGGTTCAAAGTGCAACCTGACCCACATGTCCACTAGAATGAAGGGATTTAGGCTACTTTGGAACAATTCATTAGTCCTTGATAAAACTACCTTTATAGTCAGACAAAGAATTAGCTTCTGTAACAAGTATATAATACATAAGGAAGGAGAGAGAGAGAGAGAGCTCATCGCCATCGCCGTCGCCATGGCCGTCGCCGCCGCTGTTGCTGTCGCCGTTTGGCACCGATGAAACGGGCTGCTTGTCTTTCTCACGAAAGTCCCATCTGGGAGCATGTTGATCTCAGAGTATGCTCTGCATGCACAGCACCGCAAAGCAACTGAAACTGAGGATTTGAGATCGTCTCGTCTCGCTTTCAGCTCCAATTCCTGATGGCCTAACGGAGAAGCTTCGACCAAGATACTCTGTGATCAGTGAAAAGCTCTGAGCATGGTAGAGTGACCTTCAATGGCTAAAATTAGCATACCAGGAGAATGAGCGAATGGGGTCGAACCCGCCCGAGTCTTTGACTTTTTTGACTTTTGAGAGCGTGAGCGAAGCGTTTGAACAGTCGAGACAGGTTTTGTGGACTCCGGCGAGCACCTCGTTTTGCTTGTATCCCCAAAGGAATACAAGAGGACGAATTTTAACCTACACAAGCTTTACAACATGATTAAGGTGATTGTGTGTGTGCAGATTTTCTGAAGTCTCTTGTCCTGCTTATGATCCGCCATTTTTCATGTTCTGAAACGATCTGTAAACGAGGAGCAAGCTATGTATTAGATTGGGTCTTCTCCACAATCGAAGTTCATATATATAATCTTGTCCAAGAAGATAAAAACCATATGCAAATGGTTTGGTTGATTATTCAACTACATGACCGATTTATCAGAACTCTGCTCTCAGAAGACCTATAAGAAAAGTTAGAAGTCTACTGTACGTCGATAACATGCATGACCAATTGAATCATTTTCCAAAAGGGTGGTCAACACCTAAAGGTCGAAATCTCAGGTGCTTATGAACATATATAATTTAACTTTCGTTGGGGACAAGCATAAATCTGTAATGTCTCTATAAATAGGCATATAGTATCCGATTCCATGTATCGGGAACTCCGGGCAAGCACCAATGGATGCAATCGGCGTAGCGTGACGGATCGGCTCTCTGTTCTTTGGTCAATACCTTGCCTCCACTCTCGCCATAAACCGACACGTGGCCGTCGACCCGGTACTCAGATAGCTGTGTTATGTTGATGAAAGTGACTGAGACCCTCATCTTCTTCACTATGCTGGAAACCACATCAGGCATTCTGTTGCTGCCCCACACTCTCTTGACCTTGACTGCTGGTTTCGTTTCGTTGTAGCATTTGATGCCATTTTTATTGCCCCAGTCTTCGCTTCTGTATAGGCAGAGTACAGAAGTTTTTAGCACGCACAAATGGTCGCGCCGTGCACGTAAAGTTCATGCGATTTAGGGGGAGAGAGAAAGAGAGAGAGAGAGACCTGAAGTGGGTGGGAGACAAAGTAGTGAAGAAGAGACGGGTTCGGTTGGGATCAATGGCGTAGTCGATCCAGTTGGCCCAAGTCTTCAAAGCGAGTCTATATGCCGTCACTCTGTCCAACCCTTCGTACCCTTCTTCTCCATTTGCGAACGATCCCCACCTGCATCTACTATATTAGCAAGTCTTCACACAAAAAGATACAACCCCGCTCTATACGCGTCTGCATCATCTTAGATCGATTGCGTATGAAGAGAAATAGATCATTTTTAGACGAAATCGAATCATTGTTACTCGATGAAGAGAGAGTAACTGGTCATTTTAACTTTTAATGCAAGGGTATTTGTAAAAAACTAAAAGCACGACAAAACTCACTTTTAGCTTGATTATATAGATATAGATATTAGTATGTTTTCGTAATGTTCACACTACTTAATAGCATAGTTTTCACGAAAAACTTGTTAGTATGTTTATATCATTGTGCTCTAATTACACATAGTTTATTGGAGAGGCTGGAAAGAATGAATAGTACAGTGACTTAATCTGGAGACCGCTCATCCACCAAATGTAGGAATTGAACACCAGGAGGTCCACCCCTTTCCAGTTTTCGGCGTGCTTGGAGATCGAATCGATGTGCAATATTCTCTTATCTGGGTCCGAAATGATGTATTGATCCGTGTTCGATTCCACCAGAAATGGCGCCCAGTAGAACTCGATCGTTGTGTTATATTCCTAAGATGCAAAGATATGTTGCATGAGATGAAAATCTTATGCCAGACCACTGATTTAACCTAGGAAAGAGGAAAAAGTAGAATGGCTGTGAAATTGAGCTCACTGGACTAATGATCGATTGCCTTCGTTTAGGAAATTACCTTGGCTCTGAAGACTAAGTGAGAGCGAGAGCGAGAGTGACTGAGGGACTTTTGGTCCTTTGGTATGATGGATTGCACCATGCAAACGAAGGACATCCACTGGCCTCTCTGTATGGAGTCCCCAACAAACATTAGCCTCTTCCCTCGAAGCTTCTTCAGAGCAACTCCTGGCTTAAATCTGCAAATTACAGTAATTGGCATAGATGAGAGAAAAGGAATCACATGAATAAAATGCCTCAACAATTTACATACATAGCTTAGCTATGGATTCTAGTGGGTTGTACATGGTTCTTTTTCCCCTCCACGACAATCGACTTGCGATCTATACCCGACGCAAGCATGTTCAGAATGAACTAGATTGTATGTGCATCGAGTCAACACATTTACTTTTGCACACAAGTGCTAGACTTGCACGAGAGCATTCGAAAATGACCCAAAGAAAAAGAGAAATCGGAGGTATCATTGGATTTATGTGAGAGTAATAACCAACCAAGCAAACTAACTAATATGTCACTGGCCAAAAAGAAAACCAAGTGAATTCTCAACTGACTTGGGCAAGTAGCAATCATCTGGTTGCCATTCCCAATGAAGATAATCCGAATCAAGCCGTCCATTTCTTTTGCAGGTCACTTGCTTCTCCAGATAAGCGCAGCTCCGTTCCGAGTAGAGAGGCCTGAGTGAAGCATTGAACAACCACTTGCCTCTCGCTGTGTCATTGCACTCTTCCGGGTTGAACTCGGACCGGCCGTCGCCGTCGATCTCGGGTCTATATTCTCCACTTCCAACCCCTGCATCAATGGGACACAAATTGTTAGCTAAAAAATTCTCGTGTGTATGGGGGAGAGCGAGAGAGCGAGACTTAACTGTATTTAGGGATAGCATCTCTGTTGGTGCAGGATATGAGTCGGAAGATGGAGAAGGAAGAGAGAGAAAAGACCTTCTCTGTGTATAAGAGAGCTATAAGTGCACAAGTGCATGTCAGGACATAGACTACAGATAAAGGGATGTTTCCTCTGTATGACTTCAGTTTGCTCAGGGTTAGAATGAATGACAACATTGTATCTCAGAGAGAGAGAGAAGAAAAAGAAGAAGAAGAAGAAGAAGAAGAAGAAGAAAAAGATGATGATGATGATGATGATGATGATGGTGATGGTGATGGTGATGATGAACTTGGGATCATGAGAGAGAGAAGGAGATAATGGATGATATATATATTTTCTGGGGTTCGCTTACAAGAGTAGGAGTGAAGTTAAAGCAATGCAGTTGCATGGGATTCGACCTTCTAGGATGTTGTCCTTTCAAATGATAATAGAAACAATTGCATGGGTTGAGAGTTTGTGCGCTGAAGCATCCCAACAGCGAGTAAGTTAAAAGCTAGCAAAATCTTGCATCTTGGGTATCACAGCAACTGAAGAGAGAGGAAGCTACGCGATAGTACCGATTCCATTATCGTGTCATTTACAATGCCTATTATCTCCTTACATTACTCTAATTTATTGATAGTTCAATTAGTCACGCTTTGAGAAATTAGGTTGGATTAAATAGTTGTTGATGTTTGTTCTATGTAATCCATTGCCGGAACATTGAGCCGATCATCCAAGATATTGCCTGCTTTGGGCCTCGACTAGTGTGATCGTGTCTTAGGCCCTTTAGCTAGAAGAGATGTGTCATTTAGGTTATAAGCCACAAGAACTCCCTCTCATCCTATCGAGGATCCAGCCTTCCCCGACCATCCAAAAGCTTTGTAAGTTCTTTGAGATCATGAGACTCTTCCACAGGTCAAATTCGATATGTTTCCGGCAATTTAAGTGTCGCGTTGTACATGAAGCACTACAGCAAAGTGTTCTGTGATCGGAGTTCGAATTGGCACTTTGGCATCCAGTTATAAATCGAGTATCATGGTACTACAATTTCTTGCGGCTAGGTGTAGATTTTGGTAACGCAATGTATAATCAAACGGTAGATCCAGAATTCTCGACGAGTTCTACTTATTCTGGTACTTCCAACACAAACTATTATTGGTCATGTACGACAAGCAATCAAAGAGTGCAATCTACCAAGTCATTTTCGTCCATTACAAGAATCAGGAATCTCAATATGGTGCACGAAAAGGCATTACAAGGAATCACGCAGGTCGCTTATACATCGGACCAGTAGTATCACATCTCGCACCTCTTTGAAGTAATCAGTCCCTGTCAAGGAAAGCTACAAACGACCTTCAATCCAATGTCATGCATGTGATGTAATCCGTACTATTTTCATGTGTCATATCTTTTTATCTTAACCAATTTCAATATCCAATCGATGTCTATTATTATGAGTCAATAATCAGCATTTCATATATAATTCTTTCAATACAAAGAAGATGACAAACTATGTTTTGCTCTTCCCTGTTCTCAAAACAGTACGTGCTCTGTGCCATTTTCGCCTTTGCTGAATCAAAACCAAAGGGCATCACCACCTGCAGTAGTAACTTCAGTCAGCCGGATAATCAAAAGGAATCACATTGCCATGTCCCTGTCGGCTGTAATGACCTAGGATTCACTATCCGTCATAGTCCACAAGTGTCGCACCCATGTGCCTACATGCATCAAGAACTTCACATCCCCAACGGACATGCGCCTTGTGTATCGTATTTACATTTTGTGCAGCACAACAACTGTCCAAGATCCATATTATATCATTCAATTTGTGCACAAAATCGTGGCATGTTATCTGAGAACCGTGTGGTTTTGGCACATTTTCACCCTGATGGGTGCCCCATCAGCATATATTATATACAAGTGTATGACAGACAACCTGCCAAGATATAAAGGTATAGGGTCCCTATGTTGCCTATTTACATCAAGCATATGAAGTGGCTATGCTATCTCAATTGGCTTGTACTTCAAACCATCCATCAGTCCAGTGCATTTGGTTCTCATTAGTTTCTGTCGTCGGATCAGTTGGTAAAGGTGATGTGATTCTTTCATTTCTTCCTGGCCGAGGTCTGTTCGAACTCAACCTACCAACACGCAATTTTTTGGTGATTTAACTCGATGCCTCTAGTTCAACATTTGAAATGACATTTCAAACTTGGATTTATCTAGGCAAAAAGAGTAGATCTTCACAATTCACACGCCATCTTCTCAGGAACTAAATCATGAGTGGCGATACAGGTGTTTGATGCCTGAGAAATCTTTAAAGAACAAGAAAGAAGATTTACCCAACCAGCTTGAAACAACTCACACCCTATGTAGACGACGGCTATTGAACCAGGCACAAGTACCTAATGTGATTTTTCAGTCTTCAAGAGTCTGGATATGCCGTGCATTTTATGCCAGACATGATGTAAACAGGAAACACCTGCATTACTTATTTATGCTCCCGTCTGAACGATCAAGACTCTTTGTTACAGTATTTTCCTGGTTTATCATGGTCCCAGATTTACAGAATCCGCATGAACAAGCACACCCCGTAGAAGGTTACAGGGAAGATATTTACTCTGTTACAGGCGACTTCTTCGACCTGATGCAGCTGGCTTGAAGCTGGCCAAACCTGTGATTTCCCTGCCGGTGACCAAGCTGTTGATATCATAAGTGCCTTCATAAGTGTAGATCGGTTCCAAATCGCAGAATGCCTGCAGGACGACCGAAACAATTTTATCCAATAGGAAAAGTCCACCCTGCATGACTGGATTTTATGTCCATGTCCACTAAATGTTCATGCTCCAAAGGAACTAGAAACAATTCCCTTGATCATGAATTAATGAGCTCTGCACTTGTGAGTCATCCTCCATAAATAGCAACAAACTTCAACTTTTGCATTGCATGGATACAGTATTTCAAGCCTATGGCAACCACTGGGCCTCCAAATTTTATTTACTCTTGGCCTTATAATTCACTCACCAGGTGCCCTAATAGTTTTGAGTGTAAGGAGAGCTGAACAAAGTTATCTGATGCAGACTGTGCCGTATGATAACAGCACGTACTTTATTTTTAAAAGCCCAAGATTGCATTAATGGAAAGAAGAAAATCCATTTCGCCATCTTATATAAGTTAAGAAGGCTGACCATTTTGTTGTAGTATGCAGAAACTTCAGAATTGAGAAGCAGAACAAACCTTTGCAACCAAAAAATCAGACAAGATCCCATTGCCACCAAGCAACTCTCTGCCCAAAGCTACTGTTTCCCGTGCCCTCGCAGTGATCCATGACTGAAGATAAAAATTTATCCACAAGCCAATTTAACTGCATGGTGAATTTTCCAGATATATATTACATAGCAGAAAAGAATTAGGTTTACCTTTCCCAAGCTAGCATGGCCGGGGGTCATTTTACCACTTTCATAGAGTTTGCAAAGGCGCCAACCGACGAGAAACATAGCTTGAACATTTCCCAATATCTGGACAAGTTTCTGTTGGTTTATCTGGAAAGAGGCCAGTGGTGCACCAAACTGCTTCCTCTCCTTCAAATACCTTTGAATCATTCATAAACAGTCAGGCAAGTCATTTGAATTCCATTCCCAAGTATCTACAGAAAGAAAGCCATCACGTGGTTTGCACCTGTGACAAATATCATATACACCCATCGAAATTCCAATGGGCTGCCAAGCAACCATAACACGTGAAACTGCAAGCACCTGTTTCACATAAGAATATGCTCATTTACATTCTGCAACTTAACTCTAAAATTGAAATAGATGAACATGGACACACCTAAACAGAGGTAAGAGTACCCAAGCACTTGTACAATACATGAAACAAGCTTAGAAGACGTCCAAATGGATTAACAAAGGGCGAAACTTTAGCATTTTTCAAAAAATTATCCTTCAGAGAAGTAATTCCGTCCCATCTTCTAGTAAAACGGCGTTGTGAGTTCACAACAAGAAAAACTAAAAGATAAGAGTAGAACACGAATCCTCAACGCACGGTTCTCACATGATTAGGCTGAAAGACCACAAAACTACCATTACCATACATTGCAATCATGATCACAAGAGACATAGGACTGATCTACATCATTTACATTACATGGGAAGCAATGGATAAGCCGGAAAAAGCACCTCAAGCTCTCATTTTAATTGTGTTCGCATAATTAATACAAGGAAACCCAGTCCACAATTTTGCTTGGAAATTCCACTGAACTAGTCATCTATTTCCTGCCAATTAAGTCTATTGAACCTATAGACCATTCTGTAAATAGCCAGTGAATATGATTATTAAGCACACCAGTGGCAAAATTTGATGAAGGATAATGTCATTATTCAGGTGTGCATTAGCGTTAAGTCATCTAACTACAGTAAAAGGGTAAGGAGGTTTTCGGCAACTTTCCCGAGGCAGTGTAGGTACTGAACTATAAAGGGACATCTCAAGATGGAGTGACTTGAAAGCACTGATGACAATGTACTGTAGCTACATTGGCGCTAAGAAAGCTACACCTTCAAATTGACTTAATAGCACATCATCACGCTGAATATCTAGGACCAACAAATGAAAGCAGGAGGAAATGGCGACCTTGTACCTTGTTCGTATCCTGGAATGAATTGACACCAGGCAACCTATCATTATCAGGGACAAAGACTTTCTTCATGATAATATCTCCATTCTGGACAATGCGTAGGCCAATTTTATTTTCCATTTTTCTAGCTGTTAAACCAGGAGCATCTTTCTTTACTATATATCTGCAGGACAAACAACCTTCGGTAAATGTCCACATGTGCAGAATATGTAAGCTGACAAAAATCCAGCAAGACTTTGTAGAACCACTACCAATTGATCTAAAAGCTTAAGCTGTTAGATGAATGTGTAATTTAATATTTCAATATTCTATCACTCCCCATCACGATTAGTCCGGTCTTTTTGCCAAGTACTAAGTGTGAAAATATGTAATTGGGGAGGCGAATAGTGGTTGGAAATATTCGAACTCAGGATCTCCTATTTTTATATTATGTAAGATTTTGTGGGACCAGTGCCAACTATTCTAAAAGCTTAAGCTATTTGATGAAGGTGTAGTTTAATATTTAAATATTCTATCATATGGAGATCTGGAAGATGAGAACAAACCGCTAACTATTGAAGTAAGATCCAAGTAATTATCCTGTTAATAGATTCATTAATCCCTTGATCCCATCTCGATTGATCCTCACGGATCAAGATGGAAGATTCTGCTGTGACATTCTTACCTATTACTAAAATATGCTTTCGCAATCCAGTCATGCAAAAAAAAAAAAAAAAAGCTCTACGATTGAAACCTCAATCAAGCATCTATGTTGTTATAATAGTTGTTCACTATTTGCATTACCCTGGCTGTGTGAGAGAAAGATAACTATGTCCTTTTCCTCTTCTCTTCTTTTCTTAAGGGGTTAACAAGAAGAGCCATACAGAACAGAGCATATAATTGTGTGAACATGTAAATAGAATATACTACTTCCAACCTATCTTCAGAGCAAACCAAAATACAAATGCAAACTCATTTAGCAAAAATCCATGCTAATCAAGAAGCCTATTTCGAATCCATGCATGAGAGAAACTAAAGTGTCGGCTGGACAAGCAAGCATCTGATATCCTAAATCCCAACTCATTTAGCATACCCATTTATTTGATTGGTTGAAGTATTTCTAGCAAAAATGACCAGCAAGTCCGCAAAAGTACTATTCCCAATCCAGCGCTTTTGGCCTTCAAGAATCCAACCCCCTTCCACCTGTGAGAAAGCCATAAGAAGTAAAACAAAATACTTCAAATTAAATAAGGTTCTTCGTTTATTAAATATTTACTTATTCATAGAGTTGTTCTCTCTTGATTGGTGTTGTTTTAGATATCAGAAGTATACTGGGTGAAAACCATACCTTTGTAGCTGATGTTTTCAAAGCACTTGCATCACTTCCATAATCAGGTTCTGTCAACGCCTAAGGATAACAAAAGAAAAATCAAACAGCTAGACTTCAGGAGAAAAAAGTTTCAAATGTAATGATGAGAAGCACTGCAGACCTAAGAGTCAGTCCACTTACCCAGCAAGCCACAGTATCAAATTTCGCCAAAGAAGGTAGGTATTTCTGCTTCTGTTCCTCGGAACCACACAATGCTACTCTTGATAGTCAAGTCAACAAGAATTAGCATTAATACCTTGCAATAAAACCCCTCAGAGGAAATTGAAAGAAGGATATAGAAGATCAAGTCCTTACCGATAGTGAGCATTGCCAAAGAAGAGTGAACCAAAATAAATGTAGAACAGCTTGCATCCACCCTAGCAACTTCAGCCGTAGAAATAGCACTTCCAGTAATGGAGAGACCAGGGCAACCATAACCCTAATTAGCCAAAACAAGTTAAGCATTTAGCCAAAAAAAAAAAAAAGCCAAAACAAGTTAAGCATCAGTCACCATAAAATAATATCAAGCAGCAAAGGGACTGATTTTTCAAGGTTCATTGAATTATGGTGCATGACAAAAATGGCAGCAGCTAAACATTCAATCCAAGTGAACTGCATACGTCTTGTATATACATTGGCCAAGACGTGTTACATGGCAAATGAAGTCGACAATCATGCATTAGAAGATACTTGTCATTATACACCCAAATCTTTACGGGCAAATGCTTCCTACAAATATCATAGATATTGTGAAATATAATAAGAAACAACATACTGGATTTTTTTAACAAGAATTTTCGTAATTGCACATAGCTGCCAGGGCCAGATATATTGACAAAGCAGAAAAGTACCTTAATAGTGCCACCAGCAATACGAAGTGCGCCAAGCTTTGGAACAATATGAAATGGGAATTCTGCCTTCTCCCAATACTGAAGGTGGAAAAGTCGATATGAAACTTTTTCAAGCAAAGTATAAGAAATAAGACAACCTCGAGTATCAAGTGTTAGCGACAATGGTTTTTTTTTTCTTTTGGTTGAAGTTAGTGACAATGGTTAAAGTTAAATATTCTGGCATGACTAGGCACCACAACCACATTTTAGCTGCACATAAGAACAATATTCAGGATCCATACCTTTGCCATGATTGGAGCAACTTCCTTTTCCATACATTCTCTAACTTTCTTCCGGATAGCTTGCTCCTCAGGAGTCAATAAGTCATCAAAATGATAATAATCTGACGCTGAAGCACATAAATATGAAAGAAGAAACATAAGGGACAGAAGTATTTCTTGCATGGACAACAGAAAGGGACTGAGGGTTAGCAGCATGTCTAGAATTTACTTCAGAGCCTTTGAACTACACAATAAAGCCGCAAAACAACAATCTTTCTTACTGCAAGGAGGGAAAATAGAAGCCGGAGTTGCCTGAGGAAATCCAACCGAAACATCCAATCCCGGTAAACCGAAATAAGAACTCCTCGCCTTCTTTTCCAGATCATCTGAAAGGATGATATCAAATTGCATTCATCAGAATCAAAGCAATCCAAGCTACTGCTACGTATGATTCCCATAACGAATACTCTGAGCATTAACATCAACATCGGAGAAAGCGTCCAAACGGATCCTTGGGCAGCTCATGATAATTGGAGCTCAATCCATCGAACATCACAAGACTTGTCAGATACTTGACGTTCTCGTCAATCCAATCAATACAAACTCTATAGAGAGAGATAGAGAGAGGATTTAATCGATGACCCAGATGCTTCTTTTCCATCAAATGGATCTTGCGCGCGCACAAATCAACAGAGCCTCGAGAATTGCAGACACCCAGTAGCAAAAATCTAAAATTTAACCGAACCCGACAGAGCTTCGACCCTGCAAAGCACCCAGCCGGGCTAACAGTTAGCTAACACCAACCTGGCTTCGCAGACGTGTGAGCAGTCATGGCGAGGCAGAGTGGAGACGACCGGGCGACAAGGAGGAGGAGGCAGGGAGAGAGAAACGAAGCTGATCTTTGCTCTGCGTTGCTTTGACTGAGTGTGGGTCGGTCTTGCGAGAGTTAAAAGAGGCTTATTAGGATAATGAAGATGACGACGATGCGTGGGGCAGTTGCGTGGGAGAGAGAAGATGGGAGACTGGGCACGCTGGCCTAGGCGGGCCTCGATAGTGTATGAAAACAACGAGAAAATAGAGAAAATTCCAAATAAGGAGACATGGAATAGATGTTGTTTCAAATATAAAGGCCTCACCCCACCGATTAGCATTTTCATCCAAAAATAATTTTAACATAAATTTTGATTAAATTAGATTAAAAATTTAAAAAAATAAAAGTTTTTTTAAACAAAAAGAGAAAATCAAGCAGGAGGCTGCCCTCTCGCCTGTGGTCGTCGGCCATCGCCGACGCCCCATCAGCGATGAGGCAACGGCCAAGAAAGAAAAAAACAAAAAAGAAAACAAGGGAAAAAATCAAAAGACGAAAATGCCCTTGACCTCGGTGAAGGGCTTTACTTTAGATCCTTATTTGGAACAATGTTCAATTCATGCCCTTATTTGAAAGAAAATTTATTTTAGGCCTTCATTTGAAAAAATGAGGGTACTTCGTGTTTTTATTTGAAATTTTCCCAAGAAAATATGAACGAAAATCAGTCATTTTTAATTGAACATTTGAATCATTCTTTTAGCAACCTATGACATTGGTCGATCCTTTCAGGTTCCCGTCGATGCGATTGATTATAATTATCATACGTAATCAACGGATTGAAATTTAGAGATCTTTTAAGAGATGATATATATAAGAGGGGAAATTGACGGAAAGATTTTGGAGCGATCGACCACTGCGAACAAATTGTTGTCATGTCGGATTGTTTTGGAGCATGTTTCTAGTAGGTACGGTGAACCGGGAGTCTTACTCTTGAAAGAACGAAAAATCACTTTATGCAGAGATAAAGGAAGGACTCGTGCCCTAACGTGCATCCTATATTTTTTCGGGTTAATATAACGAAAAATCACAAACTGGTCCATTTGTGATAATTTTACCTCAAACTAATTTTTTGACCACCAAAAACCCGAACTGGTACATTTGTGACAAATTTACCCTCCGTTAGTTTCCATTAAATTAAATTAATATCACAAAAAATCATAAACTTGTACGTCTATGACAAACGGAGGGTAAAACATAAAATTGGTACATTCGTCAATTGCCGCGTGTCATTTAACAAAATAATTTGACAGTAAAATTTAACGGAAATAAAATGAGGGTAAATTTATCACATGTATACTAGTTTGGGGTTTTTAGGGGTCAAAAAATTAGTTTGGAGTAAAATTATCACAGACGTACCAATTTGAGATTTTTCACAGTATTAACTCATATTTTTTTCTGACACCCGTGAAAACAATCTCGAGCTCATTTGGGCGGGCTTTGGGCCACTTTTTATTTTGTTAGTTCTGCAACTTGGAGCCAGAAAAGGTTCGACCCGCGTAGGGCCAACCTTCTTGACCATGGTGAGCTCAACTCAAGCTTCACTCAACCCACCTATTTGCTCAAGTTTAACAATGAGTGATTGAAAGCTACAAAAAGTTACAAACTGCATGAAGAATGGGAAGTTATCAGGCAATTATATGCAATAGAGGGAATGGTTTCTTTAGAATTAGGGGTGAATATGGTTCGGGTATTTATTTTCAGAATTGAAAATGTGAATCGAATCGGGATTGTCTTTCAAATTTGTTGGCTCCCGGGTAAAACTTGGAATCAACCCTCTATTTTTTTTCCCTGTTAATTTCAATTTGTTCATTTCGGCCGTGAATCATTTATTTTTTTTATTCTTTGAGTTTTTATTTGTTAATAAAGGAAAATTGTCGTTAAAAAGAAAGTCTTGACTTGTTCAAAACAAATTCTTTCATGAAATAAACTTGATCGGTTAAATTTCCAAATAGTACTGAACCGAATTAAACCTAGTCAGTTTCCAAGTTTTTTACTTGCGAATTTACCCGATTCTTTCCGGAACCGACCTTTAATCAAGCCGGCAAGGTTTGTTCTAGCTAGCTTTCTGAATTGAACTTGGACTGTTGCTTGCCCTCTGTTCAAATGTTTTGGATATAAATTTGTAAGATAAATGATTGGATGATAGTATTTTATCTACCGTGAGAATAACAGTTTGTTCTGGACAAAAAAAACATATAATTATAAATTATTGTGGGGTCCACTCCTTCAAGAATTTATGGCTCACAACATATTGTTACTCTCACAGTGGCTACACCTGTCAAAATAGGTCATAAACCCATTTCTTAACCTATATATTAGTAAATGGATCATAAATGGGTTAGTTATATTCATTAAATGGGTCATAAATGGATATAAATATAATATGAGTGTTAAATGGGTCGTAAATATGTTATAAATGGGTTTACAACTTACTTAAATTCAATTCATCTCTCTCGCCCTCACTCAATCTTGCCCCCACTCGCTCTGCACTCTCATCTCAGTTTGGGTTCGAGTTTTCTTAAATTGAGTTAAATATGAAAGTATTTTAGAAATATAGGTAGGGTCAGGTATGGGTCGAGTATGGGTCGGGTCGGGTATGGGTCATTGGGTCTATTTGGGTGGAACCATTTTTGGTTCGACCCACTTGTTTGATAGGTCTAACAGTGGCCAAAAGACTGTTATGCTAGCAAAGCCCAATTTGTAATTGTTTTGAATAGATAGAAGGTGCTTAGGCTAGTAGGGTCTCACTGTTCTCACGTGTTTGATTCGTTGATTTGCCTATGCCACGTGTCTCATGGCAGGAAAAGTGAAAGTATGACTCCATTTATTTTGAGAAAAATTGATGATTCAGAAAATATTTTCCTAAAAATGATTACTTATATAGCTTGAAATAATTAATCAATGAAAAATAATTTCATTGTCGACTACAATTTATGTCTAAATAATTTCATTGATGATGAAAATATTTTTCGTTCATTCTTATTTGTAAGCGATACAAATGATCATTTTTAGGAAAATATTTTCTAAATCATCAATTTTCCACGAAACAAGCGAAGCCTATAGAGATATATAATTGCCCATGCAGCATGGTAGAGCTATGGGCATGCTGTAGCTGTATTATGCTTTCATTGTATTGCAAAGTATCATGACGTGTATGTTTAATGATACACGTTTTAAAGTAGCAATACCTCAAAAATAAGAATGACTGCTTTACTAAAATTTGTTATAAATCGTTAACTTTGAGAATGGGGCAACCGTAAGTAGTTTGCCTGCCCATAAAAAGGTATAGCACCTCTTTTTTTACGGCTACAATTGCTGCAGGAAAGGGGTACCAAACATACTCTTATTCTGACTCGCTACATAAAGATGAGCATAATATAATCTGAAACATCGTACCGGTAGTTGGATTTGGCTCTTGCATATCAAACTCAGTTGTTTGGACTCAGACTAGCACAACAGAAGATAGGATACATAATGTCTTATTTTTGCAACAAAAAGGGGATTATCACGAGTTAAAAACTCGAGCATTAAGATTTTGAACGGCTGCCGATGTGTGTGATTTGTCATTTTTGCCCATTCTTGTACTTGTCTGATAGATTGACTACGGACAAAGATGTCCCGGGGAATACACCTGGTGAGATGGGCCTAAACACTGACAAAAGACCTTATGTGCAATCTCCCGATAGACAATGAACGTAGGCCGGCTAAGGAAATATCATCCTTCCTATAAATTTACTATTCACTATTGCTTACATTTACATCTTCTCATAATAATAACGGATTCTAGCCAAAAAATAAGGATTCTTGATAATAATGTTTCCCGCGAAGACCTCTCGGTTTAGTTAGTTATAAACATGGACATCACCACAACCACTCTAAAAATAGATGTGCACATGAAAGACATTCGCAAGAGGCCGGCTAATAAAGCAGGGCTTCCCTTTTTCATTTTTCGTTCCAGAGTTTTTATGCGATTTCATGAGCATTCGTGACCCAAACAGATTAGCGATTTCTTTTCCTAGGAATTCATGCAGTATTTGTTACTGTAGAAGGATAAGGGTGACCTCCGGTTAACTATTTCGTTTATGAGTTTCGTACTTATAGAATTGCATGTCCTACCGAGATATATCGAATTCGCAAATTACTATCTTCTTGGCTAGCGTGCGAAAATTTACACCCGATGTAGCTACACGAGGGCGTTCAACTTATTGTCATAATCCATCTTGTATAGTCGTATTAGAAATAAAGAGGCTGATCTCCTAGATATGGTTGGGGAAAATTTGTTCTAATTTGAAATGGAGGAAGACAGAGCTAATCATGAATTCTTAAGTGAGTGTATTTAGAAAAAAAGATTCAAGTAATGCTCCAAAGGGAATTTTTTTTTAAAAGTCTTAAATTTATTGTATGATGGGCCAAAATCCTAAATTTTTCCGGAACGACTATAGTGACAAATCATCAAAAGGTTTATAAAAGATTGGTTTACGACTTTTTGGATAATAGTCCCATGCTCTAAATGCAAATACGCTAGGGATAAATTTTATGTGCAAAGCCAATACAATAAAAAAAAAAGGGATAAGTGCACTAGAAGTCCTAAAACTTATCACAATAGTACAATTGAGTCCTAAAACTTATAAAAAGTGCAATTAAGTCCTAAAACTTGTCAAATTGATACAATCAAGTCCTTCTGTCAACTCCGTCATATTTAACTAACGGAAAATGTTTGTGATTTTTTAATTTTATTTTCTCTCTCCTATGGGCGATGACATGGCTAAATCATGAAACATAAGGTTAAAACAATGTTGTTTGGGTCTAAATCTGATTTTTAATACAAATTTTATTAAAATTAATTTCAAAAAATAAGCTAAATTAAAAACAAAAGAGAGGAGAAACCATGAGGTGAGGGCTCCAGCCCTTGTCGTCGCCACGGCCCCACCCTCCGATCGTCTTGGTGACCCCCACCGGCCATCCCCCACCTTCTTGGTGAGGGTGGGGCAGAGACAGCAAGGGCTGCCTGATTTCTCCCCCTTTTTTATTTTTTGATTTAGCTTATTTTTTAAATTTAATCTATATAAAATTTATATTAAAAATCAGATTAGAACTAAAACGATATCGTTTTAGCCATGTCACAACCATGTAGGATATAGAAGATAATAAAAAAATTATATGTCAACATTAATTGGACGGGAGAAAATATTCAGTGATTGCAAAGAGTCACGTCATGTGATGCGTTTTTTTTTTTACTTATATCAAATAATAAATTGACACATGTGAGCTGGCGAAATAAAAAAATAAAAATCTAAATTTTCTTTCTTCCTCCAACACCCACTTTTACTCTAGTTGTTGTCCATGGGTGGCGGCGCTGCCTCCTCCGTCATAGAGAACCACTCGTTCGGCCACCAACTCCACCCCTTCCAGCGTCGCTTGCTGTCGACCCAAGCTATCCCTCCTTCATCGCTTGCAGTTGGCTTGTTACTTATCCATATCAAGCCACGGCCACGTCTCCAAGCTTTGCTCGTCCATCCACCGACTGGACCGACAACGACATTGTGACGAGCCGGCGTTGGAGTTTACCCGTCCGCCGATGACAACGAGCGAGCAACAAGGTCCAGATCTGGTCGTTGTGATTGTAACTGCAAGCAACAAAGGCGAGCAAAGAAGTCCGGATCTAGTCTCCACGGCAACAATTACAAGCATCAAAGTCCAAATTTGGTCGCCATGAATCCAGACCTAAGGACTGCGAGTAATGGAGTCCAAGCCGGTACTGCTCCGTCCAAGCCAAGCACCCTCCGTCGTCCTTGCTCGCCCATGGCCGCTGCTTCCCGATTTGGCCCGGCCGAACTTTTACATCTGGAGCCATGGCTGTGAGTTTACAAGGGTTCGTTTGGCACCGGTGGCCATGGACAACCATATTAGAAAAGCTGGCAAAAGATGCTTGAATGCAGCACCGGCAGCCATGGACGACTGCAGATATGGAGGAAGAAAGAAAAATTCATCTGACACGTGTTAATTTATTATTGAATATGAGTGACAAATGCGCGCCACAGCAACGATTGATTAGACGCTTTGTAATCGCTAAATATTTTTTTATTGGAAGGAGTTAATGGAATGATTCGATTGAATCAATTTAATAAAGTATTTTCTTACGCTTATAAAGAACTTAATAAAACTCGATATGATGCTTTTTCCACTCTCTCCTTGGCTAAAATACTTCTTAATGTAGTGTTCCGACAATTTTATCCTTCATCCCACCTTTCGACATTCAAGAGCTACTGTGCATTGGATTTTTTCTTTTCTTTTCTCATGGGTTCCAATTTCCTTCATCTTCTTCCTTCTATCTCTTTTGCAGGCAATTCTCCTTTCACACTTTTTGTAAAATGTCGTATCCTCAAGTATATTTAATGAGGATGCAAAGGGTGATATTGTTGGAATTGTGAGGCCACAACAAGCCTGAGTCGACAAAGCTCCACTCTGGAGATCTTCGTCTGAGACTCGCCATTGAAAACCTTCCTCTGCGGCGTCTGCTTCAGCCTCTCCAATGTGTTGGTTTGCAATCTGTCGGACAATTCGCTGGATCCTCTATGGTACCACCTTGAGGGAGGCGATGCAGAGAAGAAGAGTCGCGTCTCCGACGACATCTAGCTCTCCGTTGGATTGGCATCCAAGGCGTGGAACTCGGAGGTGCTATATGTGGCTCACATGCGCTATAAGGTTTACCAGTCTCCAAAGCTGCGGTACCTGCATGTGATGGTGATCGAAGCTCAGGACCTCCACATCACTTTGAATATGCTGCCACTGACGGTGTGAGTGGTGAGGGTGGAGGCACTGTCTGTGTAGAGTGGCGAGGGTCAAGGAGTACAGTTTCTTTTTACATCTTGATCTAATTGCGGGAGAAATTTTTGTATTTCTATTTCGTTCTGTTTTTCGAGGTGGTGATCCGATTTTGTTTTTTAGTTTCTTACTTGAACATGATGAAGAAGCTTGTCTATAATTGAATTGGAGCTTCAAGCTATGGATTTTCATGCTATGGATTTTCATTCTGTTTTTGGAGATGGTGTTTTACCTCTTGCGCTCCGCATCCTCCTCAACTCCGCTGTAGGGTATTAGGAAGGAAGATGATTTCTTGAAGAGAGAGAAAGAGAGGGGACGATGATGAAAGAATGTGAGACTCATAAGAAAAAAAGAGAAGGAAATCATAAAAATGGGAAACACATAATAAAGGTGGGACCCGTGGAGGGTATAATTGTCAAAATATTATACCGAGGAGTGTTTTTAGCCAAATTAGGAGCGGAAAAAACACCAACTTTGTTTTAAGGGAAAATATCACAAAAAACTTCAAATTATGCCACTTGTGACACATTTACTTTGAACTTTTTTTTGTGACATGAAAAACTCTAAACTATGTCACTTTGTGACAAATTTACCCTGAACTTTTTTTTGTGACACGAAAAACCCCAAATCATGTTACTTGTGACACATTTATCCCATAATACTTTGACCCATGGATATTTTCGTCTTTTTCTTTTTTCTATTTTTTTTCCTTTATTTTTTCTTTCTTCTCCGGCAAGGGAAGCCGGTGAGGGCGGTCCTCGCCGGCAGTGGGCAGCCTTCGCCTGAGTTGGGCGAGGGCTGCCCTCGCCCAACCCACCGCCGGTGAGGAGGACCGCCCTCGCCGGAGAAGAAAGAAAAAAAAAAGGAAAAAAAACAAAAAAAGAAAAAAAAAGAAAATGCCAATAGGTCAAAGTATTGTGGGGTAAATATGTCACAAGTGGCATAATTTAAAGTTTTTCGTGTCACAAAGAAAAGTTCAGAGTAAATTTGTCACAAGTGACATAGTTTAAAATTTTTCGTATCATAAAGAAAAGTTCAGAATAAATATGTTACAAGTGACATAGTTTGGAATTTTTGGTGGTATTTTCTGTTGCTTTAATCTTCCACCACAGCCATCCATTCCATGGACTTTGGGACAAAAGGAGTTGTTGCGGCTGCATCGAATCCAACAAAGTCGTTCCTCGAAACGACCGTGAGCCCCGAACAGCTACAACATCGTCTCCATTGCAAGATCATATCAAATCTGGAAAACCGAAAAAACCTTCGAAATCTTCCAAGTTTTTGGCTGCCCTGATTCCGCCATGTTCGCGAAGCGACTGTTCGAGAAAGCGATCCACAGTCCTCCTCCCCAGGTTTTTCTCTTCCGCTTCTTCTTTTGTGTCTTGTCGTCTTCCTCCTCTTTTCCCACTTCGTTGCGGCTCTTTTCCGCTACCGGTCGATCGGAATCCTTTGTCGTAGCTTGGAGTTGATGCCGTTGTTTTCTTCGGGAGTCATTCACGTACCAGCGAACGGTGATGACTTTGCCGTGTTCGAAGTCTTTTCATTTATGTAAAAGCATTTCCATTTGGCTCCCCATTTGTCAATTTCCAACGTGCCCTTTTGGCCCTATTCGCAATGCGAAAGGGGGGTTGTTAATTTGTTTGTAGTGCTTGACGTGCTCTTTATATTCACGTGGTCTCTCGCCACCTAACGATACGAGGACTGAATTATACACTCCCGATGCCGGTTTAGTGATTACAGACGTTTTGCGCGTGACTGGTAGCTCGAGATGCGCGATCGCGCTGTTTTGTGGTCGATGGATTCTAATGTGGCGCTAAAGTCTCACTTTGGTGCTTGTTAGATGTTCCTGCTCTTTCTATGATTCTTGTTTGGTGATTTTTTTACCGTGTGATGACTTGATTAATGGAAGAGACTACTCATGCAGGGTGATGCACAGCATGGCAATTCAGCATGGAAGGATTTGGATTTGCGCGTTTATGTCCACTATGGGGTCCCATCCACAGCTTCAATTCTTGCTTTTGACCCCATTCAGCGCCTCTTGGCGATCGGTACCCTGTAAGTTGAAATGCTGCCGTTTTCTCTTGATGGAAGTCTTGGAAGAGTTGATAATCCCATGCATCTTGTGGACTACACAACTGAACACGCATTTGTACGTTCATACTTTTGTTGCAGAGATGGCAGGATCAAAGTGATAGGCGGTGATGGCATTGAAGGACTTTTCATATCTCCTAAACCACTTCCTATCAAACACTTAGAGGTTTGTCTGCTTCTCATGAAATGCAGATTATCATTGCTGCTTGTCATGCTCTCATTATGTATTTGAAGAGGGAATGGCATATGTTGATGAACCTCTCAAAGAAGTTTTCTATTCTAATATTTAGGTTTTCAGCTTGTTATATGAGAAGGCTAATGTGCAGTACTTTTTAAGCAAAAATTGATAGGAGTATTCAAATTACTGACTTTTTACCCTCAGGGTACTTCTTTGCTCGACAGCATAACCAGCAAGATGCATGAGTGAAATCTGTTAAAAGTTACCAAGTCTAAGAGCACCTGGCATCAAATGCTTCGGCTTCTCTGAAGGATACATTTTCTATCTCCTTTGACCAGTTTACTACGAGCAATTTCTTCGAGCCACAGCTAGAATAGAACTGGAAAATCTACATGATGTGGGTTTGAGAAACTGAGTACTTATAGATGTAGAAGAGCTCTGATGTCAAATGACTTAAAATGTCTCGGTTCTATGCTCTTGTTATCCAATTTATCGTATTCCTAAATTTAGTACAGACAAAAAATAGTTTCCATATTGTTAGGAGGGAGTGATTTCCATTCAACGATATTGAGCAATATTAGTGGGAGAAAGATTTTGACTGCTTTTATCCTGAAGAAGCGGAGCTTATGCATGTCATTTTGATTTCTCTTTTTTTTTTTTTTGGGGGGGGGAGAGGAGGGGAGAGGGAGAGAGGGAGAGAGAGAGATTGTCTGATGAGCTTTTGATACATGATGATGACTATGGAATATAGCACCTCTTTAACTTTCTTCTTTGTAAAATTGATACTTTAAAGACAGCACATTATAGAATTCTAAGTGCTGTTTGGTAATAATCTTGGAATTTATTTCCACCCTTTGTGGTATTAAATTATTTCAACTGCAAACGAGGGTCATCAATCCGTTCAAGTCTTGATTTTCGGATGTGTATTTTACTTTTCATGTAGCTGTGGATATATGTGGTTGCTACCTTCTATTTTTGTTCTTTTGTTTCGCATTTTTTAGGTATTACGTATGGCATTTTTTCATGCAAGCTGCCGCGTGATGGCTTTCTTTGTTCAATAGTGAACATATCGAATGATATGTTCTGTTTAGATTATATAATCTTGTTTTGGGTGGTTTAGCTTGAAGGAAGGAGCTTATTGGTCATAATTTAAACCGATGCATAGATAAAATGATTAAAAAACTTTGGGAAATTGATCTCTTATTTTGCAGCGTTATGACTGCAGTGTTGGTCTTGTTGTGTTTGCTTTGTCTGCTAGGTTGATGGAAGTAGAACTTTGTTTTGCTGCACATGCTTGTGTAGTACTTAGATAGCCTCTTGAAATTTCCTTTACCGAGGACTAATTGTTAACCTCTTTTCTGACAGTTCCTGAGGAACCAGGGAATTTTAGTCAGTATCTCGAACGACAACTTCATTCAGGCATGAACCAACAGGGGCTTAGGCTTCATTTTTGGGATTTCTGACTTAGGATAAATGAAGTATAATAGAGTAAAAAAATTTCGTTACATCGTTTGCCGTTCTTTATAGGTGTGGAATCTGGAGAGCAGAAGCCTAGCTTCTTGTTTACAATTTGAATCAAACATTACAGCTTTTTCTGTAATCGCAGGCTCCAACTTCATGTAAGATTGTGCAGTGATTTTATCTGTCCCTTATTTCATTCCAATTTGCAAGTCAATAAGTTATAAATGCTTCAAGTTACAGCTACTTTATAATCACGTGCAGCTATATTGGTGATGAGCATGGTTTGCTTTCTGTACTAAAATGCGATGCTGAAAGTGGAGAACTTTGCCAGTTGCCCTATCACATTCCTGCAACTACGATAAGCAGTAACCCCTCCTTCCTTTTCTGAATGGTCAGTCTGTTGCAGTATTTTCATCATTGACGAGTGTTTCTAAATTTACTGATCTACTGATCTAGAACTTTGTGAAGTTAAATGACATTGTTAAATGGTGTCTTGATTAAACTCATCACGAAGCTGATGATGATTAGCAGTATCTGCTGATGGCCTAATTCTCATGCCATTGGCTAACCCCACCTGGGAAAGAATTTTTCTTTTAGGCTGCTACGGATAGGATTTTGCATATAGTTTTTTTCTCACATGCATGTGGTTATGGCTTTCTTTTTAATTAGAAGGTAGTTTGTTTCTGGCATTTTTGTAGCTTAAAAAATTGAACAATGTCTCACAGTCACAGAAATTACTCTTAGGAAACACATACCTGGATTAATACATGTACGGTTAGAAGAATATTTTGTGGTTCTCATGTCATGTATATATAGACTGTTTTACATCTTATGGAGGATCATGTGTTGACAGCCAATTTTGTATTTCTTTTGTAGTCACCTTAAGAACTAGTTCCACTAGTTACCTTATAAAGGAATTTGAATAGGTTGAATCTAAGGTTGATAATGAGTCATATGCTATCCTTCTTCTGAACAAATTGAAAATTTCTCAAATAAGGTTTGAAAGTCGTATACCGCATGTACTAAATTACTTAGGTAGTTAAAATGCTATTTATCAAATTGAGTACTGTATATAACCAGACATTACATATGAAATATAAGACGTGGTCATAACCTCATCAGAGTACAGTTGGATGGCAAACAGGAGTAACAGACATAATGACAATAAAAACGAGTGCCAAGATTCGAATCCTTGACCCAAAGCTTTCAAACCATTTGAATTAGCTGTTCTCCTAAAAGCTTAAGCTGTCAGGAAAGTTGTCAACAATAAATATCAAACATGTTTACTAGATTGACCGACTGGTGTGGAACTCTGTCTCCACGAGTTCGGAGCATATTCAAAGAATACAGCTGATGCTAAAAGGACTGATATATGCCTGATTAACACAATTACCTGTGTTGTCAACTTCCTTTCATTCATAGATTTTTCATAATATGGTTTATGCTCAGACAGTGATTTAGTTCCTTTGTTCTCTTTGCAGAAGTTTTGGGAATTTCATGTCCGGATGATCATCATCCGATTGTTGGAGTTCTCCACCAACCATGTCTATTGGGGGATAGGTAAGATCAATGAACTTTAGTCATCTACAATTCTCTTCATTTATTATATCACTCTGTATGTGAGACTTTGTAGTTATTCTTTTGTTGCTGATCTAATTATCTTTTTCAGACAATCTTGTTCTTAATTTAGGTGTACTGATTTGGTCATAGCTTTGGTTTGCAGATAGTAGGCACATTGTGCTTGCTGTCATCTTAAGAATGTATATGTCACCAGTTGGACAATTTTCTGATTCAAATTTGCACTGCTAACATATGCAGTAGTCATCCCTTTATCGTAGGTGTTGATGCCGCTTTATAATCCTTGAAGTTGTATGCTGAAGGCATGATCCAATTTCTGTCTTCAAGGAATTCACTTCTGTCAGAATGACTTAGATGGATCCATTTTGTTATCTTTCTGGAACATTTTGTTCACATCATCTCTTCTGAATTCAATCATCAAATTAATGAACGAATAACGTGCTGTCATCCTAACGAGGGGTGATCGGTTCCAGGGTGGGCCGGTTCCCGTCTTGGAACCGGAATTGGACCAAAAGCGTTGGTTCCTAGTTTGTGGAACCAGGAACCGGCCCACTTGGTCCCTGGTGGGTCCCGAAACCGGCGTTCAGCAACTGCACGAAAGTGATGGCCAAAGGCGAGGCCGCAAAAGTGAGATCCACAGTTCCCTCACCACGAAAGTGATGACTGAAGTTGAGGCCACGACTGCGAGGGAGGGCCGGAGGCGAGGTTGTGAGTGACAGCGAGGGAGGGCCGGAGGCGCCTGGTGAGGCCGTGATTGCGAGGGAGGGCCGGAGGAAGAACAGAGATCGAGGCGATTGAGCTGGCTGCGATTGTGAGGTTGCGATGGAGGGCTGGAGACGAGGCTACAACTGCGAGGTACGACCAGAGGCGAGACCACGACTGGCAAGGCCGCGAGTGACTGCGATGAGGTGAATTAGAGAAAGCAGAGATGGAGAGGAAGAGAATCGTGAGTGCAAGAGAGGAGGAGGAGGCTAGGGTTTTTGAGGTGCAAGAGAGGAGGAGGAGGAGGTGGCTAGGGTCGTGAGTGCAAGAGAGGAGGAGGCTAGGGCTTTTGCGGTTACTCCTTTACTTTTAGAAAGAAGAGCAGAAAATAAAAAAAAATTAGGGTATACCAGCCCGGTCCAAGTGGGTTGGTCCACACCTGGAACCGGGAATCGGACCGATATTCACCGGTTCCTAATTTTAGGAACCGGGAACTGCCTAGAACCGGCCGGTTTGGGCGGTTCCATGTTCGGACTGTTCCTATTGCTTACCTCTAATCCTAACAGGACAGACCATATTTTTCTCAAACCGTAATTGTTAGATTGTCCATTAGTGTGGAGTAAAATTTCTCTTCCGGAAAACTCTACCTATAGCTCAAACAAGAGCGACCTATATACTACTGTACTTAATGTTCTGTTGGATTATTTATTCTCACAAGATGTTTGCATGGTCAAGACCTCATCATTTTAGCTTCATGAGTAATTATTGAAGGATTTGGATTTATGTGGTCTTCTGATTTAATAATGAGTTTTTTTTTTAGCAGAGTACTTATTGCATATGAGAGTGGGCTGCTTATTCTTTGGGATGTTTCTGAAGGTCAGATTCTTTTCACTGGGGGGGGTAAAGATCTCCATTTGAAGGATGGATTTGCCAATTCTGCTCTCAAAGACGATAATCTTTCAGATGATACATCTGGATGCGATCTTGGGGAGAAAGAAATCAGTGCTCTATGTTGGGCATCTTGTGATGGGTCCATTGCTGCTGTAGGATACGTAGATGGAGATATTTTGTTCTGGAAAACATCTTCTTCTTCCATCAATAAAGCCCCGGGGGACAATTTGCCGTCAAGTGATGTTGTTAGGCTGCGATTGTCATCTGAGGAGAGGAGACTCCCTGTCATTGTCTTGCAGTGGTTTCCAACCAAGAAATCTCACAACTATAACGGCCTTCTCTTTGCCTATGGTGGTGATCAGATAGGGGCTGAAGAAGTTTTGACAGTACGACATAACTTATTATAGCTCAGTTCGCTGTTAATTCTCATTTCATGGTTACTCAATAAAGTTAAAATACGATATTCATGAACATGTTGATGTGCTTTAGACGGATCAAATTCAAAATATTTTACTACAAAACATTTGCCTTGAAGACAACTTACCATATTACCAGAATAATGAGTGAAGTAGCAAACTTTTAGTTACTTGACAATTTGTTGCCTGGTTGTCCTATTTCTGACCAGCTATGATTATCATATTTCTTAGGTTATCTTTAATCAGGTGATGGATTAATGCAGCTGCTTGTATGAACCCTTTAAATCCTATCAACGTGGATTACGCCCTTTACAATTTCATCTACTGCTTCAGGTTTTAAATCTTGAATGGTCATCGGGGGCAGAAACTCTGAGATGTACCGGTCGTGTTGATCTCACCTTAGCTGGCTCTTTTGCGGACATGATTTTGTTACCAAGTGTTGGAGCAGGGGGTAGCCGAAGTGCTGATCTTCTTTTATTGACCAATCCTGGGCAACTGCATTTTTACGATGACTCCTACCTTTCTACCTTGATGTCTCAACATGAGAGAAAACCATCTGTTTCTGCTTTAGAGTTTCCTACAGTAATACCATTGAGAAATCCATTGCTGACTTCCGCAAGGCTTTATAAGTTACCAGAATGCTCATCAAAGGACCTCTCAAAGGTTGCATTCCTGCATGTCTCTACCCTAGCTAACTTAATTGTTCTACTAAATGTTCTTCGATACTATTGTTTGTCCTCTTTGTATTTATGCAGATAAGTTCAGTGGCCAGACCAGCAGCTTCCATACATGGTGGATCAGATTGGCCCTTGACTGGAGGTGTGCCTTGTCAATTATCAAGTACTGAAGAGAGTGGAATTGGCAGAGTCTACATAGGTGGATATCAAGATGGATCTGTGAGGATGTGGGATGCGACACACCCTATCTTGTCTTCTATTTTTACTTTGCAAGGACAGGTTATTATTCCTATTCATATCTTCCTTAATCTTATTCTAAAATTACTGCAAATATACATCTTTGAAATCAAAGCTTTGAATTGCCAGGTGCAAGGTATTCAAGTGGCTGGTTTAACTGCATCAGTTTCATCTTTAGACTTGTGTGTTTTCACACTGAATTTGGCTGTTGGCAACGAAAGTGGCTTGGTCAGAAGAACATCTTTTCCTGAAAATTCTTCTGTTTTATGTTGTGTTGAATGCATAAAGCCTCACCCCCTTTTTTGTTTGTCCAGGTGGTCATATATAATCTCAAGAGTGGGACAACTGACAAAAACTTTCACTTCATAACAGACTCTAAACATGAAGGTGATTTCGATATCGAGATTTATTACAAACACCATCATTGAGAAAAGCAGTTTCTGCTTGCAAACAACACATGCACAATGGGTTATCTTTGGAGTGAAATGTAATAGCAGAAATTCAAATGAAAACTTGGACAACGCTTAGTACCATAATGGAAGTCTACTTTATTTACTTGCAGGATACATAATATTCATCCTTTGGGTGTCAGCCATTGTTTAATGGTAACCCTTAAAATCTTCCTTAACACTACAATAATATAATTTATCCTGGGAACAATGGGTGCAATTTGATTTTTTTTGGAAAGAGAATCCAAACTGTGAGCCGTCGCATGTTGGAGTAATTGTAGGAATTGGAACCCGAGTCTCTAAAGTGAAGCTGCGATCTCAATATGCTCTTCAAGATAGATTTCTCTTCAAGATTCTGGATGCTGGTTGCAGGAAATCTGTAGAATTTGACATGATCTTCCAAACCAAATGCAACCATTCAGAGTGATGTTGGCTATTGTTGCATTGCTATTGGAAATGTGTATATAACAACCTCTTCAAGATCAGACAAAAATGGCTTGTTTGCAATCTAGGTGGAATGTCTAGTTGTAGTAATGGCATATTGTGCTTGGCAGTATAAGAGACATAATCGTTCAAGTGAGCTGAAGATTAATTGTTGTAATCAGACGAGTTTTTATTGGCTAGAGAATTCACTGGATTTTTCTGGTCTAGACTCTGTACATTCTGAGTATTTCTTTTTTATGGCATCTTTCCTGCAAGAGTTCCTTGTATCTGCTGGACCATTTCCTTGTGTGATAATGTAGGATTTTCTGGACCTCTACATTTTTCTAACCTAATACTCTTCAAACTTGCCAGTGCACCCTTTGCTTTCAGAAGAGGCATGCCAGTGTAAAGCTGTGTTTTCTCTTTTCAACTCTCCAGTTCAAGTATTACAGTTTGTGAATCATGCAACCAAACTCGCTGTCGGATTTCAGTCTGGTCAAGTGAGGATTATAGTGCTTGATTTTTCAAGTATACTTTACCTTTTCTGCTTGATTTTCTTTCTTGAGAAAACTGATTTTATGTTTCTATTTCAGGTTGCAGTGCTTGACATGGGTCCAGTATCAGTTTTATTCTGCTCAGACTGTTCATGTGGCTCTCTCTCACCTGTCGTTTCCATTTATTGGAGATCATCCAGTAACATTGATAATACACTGAAGAGTGAAAAGATTGCGGAAGTGAATATGCAAACTGATCCTATAGATGAGCTTGTATTTGTATTGACCAAGGATGCAAAGATTCTTATTATAGATGGTGGCACGGGTAAACGGATCAGTTCTCGTCCACTGCTCTTGAAAAAGAAATCTACTCCAATTGCCATGTATGTTATAGGCAAGTGAAATATTTTGGTTAGTGAACAATAATATACATTTAGTTCATTATGATTTGCTGAAGACAGAATTTTAGTTTTCTTCAGATGACAACATTTCAGTCTCTTCAGAGCAGTCAGCTAAGGACACTCCTTCGTCCAGGAAAGATGCTACTACTGAAGGAAAAGTTGCAAAAGAAGCATGTTCAGCGGGGAGATTGCTGGATTCACTTTTACTGCTATGCTACGAAGATTCCTTGTGCCTCTACTTGACAAAATCTGTCATTCAGGTTTCTTTCTATTTGTTTACTCTAGTCATTTGTCGTTCTTATGTTTTCAAGCAATTTAATTGTTAAACTCACATAGGGAAATCATAAAACTAGTCGCAAAGTGAAACATGCAAAGCCTTGCTGTTGGACTTCAACTTTAAGGAAAGATGGGAAAGTTAGTGGGCTGGCCATGCTATACCAGACTGGAGACCTTGAAATCAGGTAATTGTGAATTTCAGGCTTATGATCATATTCCAGAACTGGAATAAACAACCTAATTTTCCCTTGGTTCTGGCTTTCTGGCTTGGTTTTTCTTTCTGAGATATATTTTCGTCACTCACCAATAGAGCATTCCTCACTATTCTTTTTGTCAATTTGCCAGATCTTTGCCCAATTTAGCTCTGGTGAAAGTAAGCTCTTTAGTGGCAATTCTAAGGTGGAATTTCAAGGCAAACATGGACAAGATGATGGCTTCTGACGGTTCACAGATTGCCCTGGTATTACATAAATGATAGACAATGAACCTAATTATTAGGAGAAGTTCTAGGTTGTATCCATCTATCAATTGGTTACCCTTCATAGTCAATGGAGGGAGTGAAAACTGGTGCAATGGTATCTGTTCCATCACGATTTTCCATCAGCTAGGGCGTATGATAGACATCATTCAAGTTGATCTTCTTTAAAAGCATATTTTGTCTACTTTCCTTTGCAATCTGCATGTTTTTGGTTTGTTTGAGGATTCACTTGTAATCATCTACGATAGGCAAATGGGTGTGAATTGGCTCTCATCTCTCTTGAAGATGAAGATGATCTCAGGTATTCTATGCTACTATTAAATCGAGTTTGTATACCGAAAATTTAAGTAATTAGGTGATTTTTTTTAATTGTTGTAAAAGTTCGAATTTTATCAAATAATATAAGATCATTTTGTAGGGCCTTGGAAGCTTTGCCTTGTCTCCATGATCAGGTTCTTGCTGCTGCTGCAGATGCTGCACTCACTTTCTCTAGTCAGAAGAAAAAACAGGTTATGCTATTTTCTTTTCTTTGGCATCCTAGTCAACAATCTCCATGACTTGTATGTTTACATAATTCTTTTTAATCCAGGCTTCATCACCAAGAATTCTGAGGGGCATTGTGAAAGGATTTAAAATGCGAGAAGCAGCAAACAAGGGGAAACACGCTGCGACTTCAAAATCTGGTGTTACTCATTTAGAGGATGTATTCTCAAAATCTCCATTTGCAGACCAGTTACCAACCCTTAGAAATAATCAGGAAACTGTGGATCCATCTTCTAGCACAAATGATCAGGAAGTGGAGCTTAGCATAGGTTAGGTCCATCTCTGCGACCACATCCTGGTTTTTTTTTTTTTACTTTTTGGCTATCGTCTAAATTTCAGGTTCTTGTTTGCACAGATGACATTGAAATTGATGATCCTGCACCAATGGCGTCTGCTTCAGTCTATAAACCCCAAAATCAAGACAACAGTAATTTTCCATTTCACTACATGATTTACATGATGACATATTTGACTTTCATGATGTGATAGATTAGATTACCATTTTCTTCTGTAAAAGGAACGGAAAGGGAGAAGTTATTCGAAGGCGCAACGGATGTCATGGAACCTAGACTCAGGACACCCGAAGAAATAATTGCTAAATATCGGAAAAGGGTAAGCAAAATGGATGCCGGATTCTCTCTCTCTCTCTCTCTCTCTCTCTCTTGCTTGCTCACTCTCTTATGCAGACGCACTCTTTAAAACTGTTTTAGTGAACTGGTATTAAACTATGTGGCAAATGATTTCAGGATCCCGCCGCTGTGGCTGAACAGGCAAGAAACAAGCTTCTTGAAAGGCAGGCGAAACTGGAGGTAGTGCAATGTTATGAGTTTCCATAGATGTCACCGGAATGGCAAGGACATTAGTCGTTTTTATGTGAAAATTACAATAAAAAGAAAATTACTCGATTTCGGATGAGAACATAACTCCAAGTTGAACATGATTAAGGTGACTGCGGGAGTCTCTTATCAAAGACACAAATAGGCATGCAATGAAGCTGCTCCAGAAGTCTGGAAACTGCATGTCATGCTCTTTATAAAGACAAGCTTTTAGTGCATTTATCGTCTATTAGTAGTCTACATGTTTTTATTGCCAATGCTGTTGGGGGACATAAAATTTGCATCCTGATAATATGTAAACATTCGTTCGCAAAGCAAGCATAAGTCAAATTCTAAATGGAACGGTGCAGGCTTGGCTGAATCATATATTCAATGAATGAAATATGTCAGGGCAATTGTCGTTTTTAATTATAGCATTAGTCAGTTGCTTTAGTGTTGAATGTACATAAAATGTAGTATAACTGAAGAAAATGGACATGTCCATAATGTTATGTTTCTTGTGACTGTTTGCTTAATATTCTTGATGCATATCGGTTGTGTTGGTGAACGTTTTTTCGTGTACTGATGAAATTTAGTTCGTGTTTGTTTTTGTTCTATCAGAGAATCAACCAGCGCACTGCAGAACTGCAAACTGGAGCTGAAGATTTTGCTTCACTAGCCAATGAGCTTGTCAAGGTCATGGAAAGTCGAAAATGGTGGCACATATGAGCAAAACATTTCTGTTACGTCACTATGCATCCATCCACCGGTGGCTATCTTGTTCAAATACATGGGTGGCCACCAACTGTTGTCCAAATGAGTGTGCAGATGGCATCAACTGTGGAAGTGGAGCTTGTCAGTTAAAAGGTGCCACAAGGTAGATGCTACTGTTCTCTCCTGAAGTTTCGAATCTTCTTTCCTGTAAAGCAATCAATGGTCATGGACTCTCCTTTTCTCTTGGTAAAATAGTTGATAGAAGAATGTCATTGCGCTGATTTTTGACAGGAGAAGTACAATGAAATAAATATGAAGAATATGAATTATGTTATGCTAGTCAATATCGATCGATGGTTCCTAGACCATCAGTGAATGCCCATGGGATAACAAATCGACCTTCATCGGTATAATCAGTCAAACAGCACTTACTGGAGTGTGGATTATCTTTTCGCTACCGGGCTGAAGCGCTAGAGAATCTTTAGTTTTCTTGCTTCGTCTGGGTCGAAAAAGGAGTGAAAAGATCCTTAATTTGTGCTTTGTTTTGTCTGACGGATTATCGAAAAGAGCATATTCTCTTTTGCAAATCAGGATCAGTTGGGGGAAAAGTAACAAATAAGTCCTAAATCTGTTGCATTGGTACCAATTAAGAGTGCAAAGGAACCGGGAACCGCTTGGAACTAGATTGGACCGGTTTGGAACCGGCGATTTCCATGGGGATCGGTCTGGTTCCCGGTTCCAATTTAGTGGAACCGGTGAGTATCGGTCCGGTTCCTGGTTCTAGACGTGGAACCGTCCACCCAGATCGGATCGGATCGGTAATATATATAATTTTTAAGAAAAATTTCCAACCGAAAAAACAGAAATTTTTTTAAGAAAAATGAAAACCCTAGAATCTCTAATTTGAAGCTCAATGCGCTTAATTGAGTGCTCGTCTCGTTTCGCTCTCACTTTGTCTGAGTCGTCTCTTTATCTTTCACTCATGGTCCCGACTCTCAAGCTTAACACATTCATCGACTCACAGCCGCGCCTTCGACCATTCATCGCCTCCCTCTCTCGCTCTTGATCCCTCCATTTGCGTGAAGCCTGGTGGGACCGGTTCCATGGACCCACCTGGATTGGTTCGGTTCCTGGGTGGTCCATGGAACCAGCGGGCGTTCCCGATTCAAATTATTTGAAACTGGTCATTCATAGGTGGTTCTTGGTTCCATAGTGGCAATTGCCCACCCGGACCATGCTCATTTCTAATACCAATTGAGTCATAAACCTTTCAATTGGATTGATTTAGTCCTAAATCATTTGTATTAGTGCCAATTGAATCTATTCGGCCAATTTATGTTGGAAATTGCTGACGTGGACGCCGGTCGTCCTACGTGGCACAGTCACCGCTGACGTGGATATTTTAAAAAATAATTTTTGTTTTCTCCTTTTCTTTCCTTTCTTTTTTCTTTCCCTTTTAATTTTGCCAATGGTTGGTTGGTAGCCACCGGCTATAGCACATGGTTGGTGAGGGCACCCCTTCCTAGATCTGGCGAGGCTGACACTCGCCGAGGCCAGAGTAGCCTCGTTTGGGCGAGGGCGAGCGCCACCGAGGGCCCTCCTTGTTAGATTTGGCGAGGCTGACCCTCGCCTATGCTAGGATGGCCTTGTTGAGTGTCGCTTGGGCGAGGGTCCCCAGCAGTCGCCCTTGCCGGCCATGGCTTGTGGTTGGCGGTTGGCAACTGCCCACTATCAAAAAGAAAAGGGAATGGAAAAAAAGAAAGATTATAAAAAATCAAAAAAATATTAAAAATTCTGGGTTAGCGCCAGCCATGCCATGTGGACACCGTACGACGGCCGACGATTTCAGACTTAAATTGGTTGGATGGATTCAATTGGCACAATGTAATATGTTTAGAACTAAATTGATCTAATTGAAATATTTATGACTGAATTGGTATTAATGAGTTGAAGACTTTTTAGGTACTTTTCCTAGGTACATTGTGCGAAGACAAAGGCCTGGCCATCAAATGATGACCCATTAACACATAAAAAATTGTTGGAAACATAGATAGTGCTTGGAGATCTTACGAATATTGAATATCTCTTTAAGATCTTACAGGATAATAATATATGGAATATTTCTTTTAATGGAGTCAACTTGGATAAGTGAGTTCCTTTAGCGGAAGCTTTGGTCTCCCTCGCGGTTACCTGCCATTTGAGCAAAGCTATGATATGGAACCAAGTTTCGGATTTTCATCATGCCCACACCTTATGTTTCAATACACCGTTTTTGTTCGTCTTATCCCCCGTTCTTGAACGTCATGTGCTCGGGGTAGGGCGGGTAAAAACACTTTGGCTACATTTGGTGGTTAGGATAAAAGTCGGGATATAAGAGCATTTATTTTATCATGTGGGTTCCTACATAAGACATGATAAAATCGGATATAAGGGAGATATAGCTTTGGTAAAATTATCCTATGGCAGATGTAGGGTAAATGTGGATAGGATTTCTTGTATTCATGATATAAAAGCTATTATTCTCGAATGACTAACTTTTTAAATAATAAAACTAAAATAATAATAAAATATAAATATTATTTGAATTCTAATATAAAAAGAAATTTCAAAATAACAAAAAAATAATTTTCATTTGTATTTGTTAATTTTTTATTTATATACTCGAATTTCTTTCTACTCTGTAATATATATTTTGTGTGTATGTGTCTATATATATATATATATATATATATAATATAGTATCTATATTATTACATATTTTAGGTGTATTAGTATAGTTATTATTTGATTAAATTTTATTAAGAAATGATGGACGGAAATAAAAAAATAATAAAGATGGAAAAATAATAAATAAAATAAGTAGAAGAATCCAGATTTTAAATGAACAATTCAAACTTAAAAATTCTCTTTCTAATTCTTGAAAAATGAGGGGCATTGGAATTTCTAAAAAAAAACCTACCCTCTCTGTCTCTTTCTCATCTATATCTCATGTTGAAGCTTTGCAACTCCTTCGTAGTTTTTAGTTCACGTAGCTCAATGAAAACGGCAAAAGAGTTGAATCTTCTTCTCCTTCGTAGCTCTCTAATTCATGTCAAAAGTCCATGAAAGCAACAATAGAGTTGAAACTTCTTTTCCTCCGTAACTTTGTTTATGTTGAAGTTTCACGAAAGTAGCAATAGAATCAAAGCACTACACTCTTCGTAATCTCAAAAGTGAAAGATCATATTTTCTCTCTTACTAGATTTGGCATTGAATTATGAGAGATTTTAACAATCTCTATTTGTGCATTCATTTACACTGATGTTGTAAATACCAAACAATGGACATGATAGGGTATGAAAATAACCAACTTTATTACGGCTATTAACCAAACAGTAGATAGGATATAGCAAAATTTCTGGATTTCATATCAAATTCTATTATGACTAGAAATCCAGAGAACCAAACGCATCTTTTGTATATCATTTGTCGTCCTATTTTTACAAAGAAGGGAGCGTCAAAGTAATCAACGTCACATCACTTGTATACTGTATTTACTTTGATGTTAGATACGTGACCTCTCGATGATTAATCTATGAGTAGGTTGTGCAACGAGAGGAAAAATGACCGAAGAGCAAAGTAGCAATGATGAGAAAATTCTAAAAAAATAAAAAATAAATCGTTTGTGCTTGGAAATGTAGGTAGTGCTTCGAGTGCTCGAACAAATGAGGTTACAATTATTGCATTTGTTGTTGGTGGATATGGCAACAATCATGGCAAATGTTGATTTTGCTGGTGTAACACTTCAACAGTGGGAAGAGAGGAAGATGCTGCACATGAAATTTGCAGTTACAGTCAGTTGCATGCACGTCTCATTCTCATCTAAAAGTTGCAATGCATTGCATTGCTTTGATGAAAAATCCCCATGACTTACTAATTGTCATGTACCGCGAGAATGACGAAAAGGGCTTCATGGTTTCTTTCTCCTGACTTTGCAAATCTTCTTCGCTTGCTAAGTCATGCAATTATCAAATAAATTTTTGCACGGATCGTTCCGATCTGATTCGAAAATGCCCTGAAAACGCATTTGCGAGAGGACCTTACTAGTAAGGCTAATTGTCGATCTTACTATTCAAAGTTGTTTGTTGCATAGGGATGATCCCATTTTCATCTTGCGTGACTGGATCGTGGTTAGAAATGATTATGTGTGGAATACGATAACTACAAAAAGGCATCACCAGATTCATCATGGAGATATCTTCCTCCAAGAAAAATTTGGACAGAGACGGATCATTTTCATGATTGTGGAGTCTAATTTGGGTTTATTTAATTCAATCATTGCTGTCATTAAGTGTGGCAGGCATATGTCATTAGTGGGCGTAATCCCTTATTATTATTGTGTAGAGTAGGATCATTACACTAGAGTCTCACGCTTAGTTGATTTTGCGGAAAATGAATAATTTTAAAAATATTTTTTTAAAACCGATCGCTTGTATTGCTTACAAAAGTTAATAAATGAAAAATATAAGACATAAATTATTGTTGATAATGAAAATATTTTTTATTAACTAATTATCTTAACCAGCATAAGCGATCTCTTTTAGTAAAATATTTTTCAAATTATTCATTTTTTATGAAACAAACGGAGCCTTAAGAGAGTTCAATGTCTTGAATGATTAGGGTGAGCAAGTTAATGAATAAGTGATAGCTATTGAAAAACCTCATTGATCTTTGGTCCTCAATTTTATTGAAGATTTTGAGAATTTTGGCTTCATTTGTTTTTTAGAAAATGCACGATTAAGAAAATACATTTTTTAAGATGATCACTTGTATCGCTTGAAATAATTAGTAAACGTAAAATGTTTTTACTATCGATAACATCTTATGTCTAATTAGTCAAGCAAGCCATGTTTGCTCAACGTTGGACTTTTTGAAGAAGTAATTCACATTTAGGAGATATTTCACAGTTGGATGAACATCTTCACGTAAATTTACGGGTGTATTTGTTTCATGGAAAACTCAAAATTGGAAAAACATTTTCCTAAAAACGATAACTTGTATCGCTATATCGCTTACAAAAATGAATGAACAAAAAATATTTTCATCTTCTACAAAAATGTTTAGACATAAATTAATATGGATAATAAAAATATTTCCCATGACTAATTATTTCAAGTGATAAAAGCGATCGTTTTTCTGGAAAAAAGGTTTTCAAATTATTCATTTTCCACGTAACAAACGGAGCCTACATATTAAATTTTTAACCTTTACTTAGTTGACACATCAAGGGTCTAGATTTAGCCATATCACCTATTTAACATGACTTTATCAAATATACTGTTACACTTCAGAGAAAAATCACATGCAAAACCCACCACACTCTGATCCCTAAACTTGTGCGCGCTCGCGCGTGTGCATGTGTGTGTTTAAGGCATAGAGATGTGCTTTGCATGGTGGCTACATTGCATCGCAATCACATCGTCGAGGTCTCCTCACCTCAAGCAACCTCCTGGCTAGCCCAAGGTTGGCATCCTCTGATCTGATGTTGCCAGGTAGAGAGAAAGGATTTAAAGTTGCTACTTCTAATTGAGAGAGAGTGAGAAAAGAGAGGACAATATTCGCCCCCATAAATATAGAAATCTCAGTTCATCACAAAATTATTCCAATGTTTCTCGTTTTAGGTCATGTTAAAACCCCCATAAAACGTCTCCACACTTTCAACTTTTGTAGGAACAATAAAGAAGCAATTGAAGGAGGAATCAAGGTCTGAATTTTTGAGAGCGACAAAGATGGCCGATCCCACCGATCAAGGACTTGGAGGTGGGATGGCCAATCCCTCGGTGGGCTTAGTCAAACCACGCTTTCTGCCAAAACCTAAAACGTTTTGCCAAACTCCAAACCAGGAATTTCACATGGTCTGCTTTTCCCATTTGATGCTTCTGTCCTGTACGCAACCTCGAATTGACCCACGTTCCTCGTATGGCCTCACTCATCCTCCCACCGACCCCTTTTCAATGCCACCATGATGAATAGCACTATTATAGGACGGGCATCTGGTGGTTCCCATGCCACGATCGTATATTGTCATATTGCACCAATCGGGCTCTCCTGGTCCGTGCACGTTTTACTCCCAAAAACTTCGAGCAAAATGTGAGATGCATCTCGTGTTTAAGAAGGAAGGAGCTTATGAGGCTATAAAGAGACTGATGTATCGACTTTTATAAAGACCCAATCGAGTTTCGTGTCATATCTTGTCATGTGGCACAAATTCGGATTTTTTAATCTGAGCACGTTTGATTCCTAACCGATCGAGTTTCATGCGCAAACGAATTGGAGAGCCGTGTAGACGAGCTTAGTCACACGATCCGTCTCCCGAAACCAGCGAAACTCATCTCACGGAAAGAGAGAGAGATCAAGAACCGGGCGAATCGAACTTTTAAGCCTAAAGACTTCCCCCACCAATCACTATACATTAATCAAGAAACTACAAAGCCTGAATGCCGAAAGTTTAGATTCCGAAAACCATGTGTACCTAACAGGTCACACATTGATACTTTACAATTTCATCCGAGAAAACTTTTAAGGTCCACGTCAATTCCATAAGATAAACAGGTCAAAAGCTTTCCTCCTCCTCCTCCTCCTTCGCAAGTCGGGGAGATGAAGTTTCCCACGAACCAAGCAAGAACGAACGCAGGAAAAGAGCGAAGCACGGTCTCTACTTGAAAGCTATAATAACACACAGCCCCCTCGTGTCTTCCTGCTTCCTTCAGACAACCTGCAAGAGAAGAGCGACAGAGACGAGAGAGAGAGAGAGAGAGAGAGAGAGAGAGAGAGAGAGAGAGAGAGAGAGAGAGAGAGAAAATCTTGTTCGAAACAGAGGAGAGAGAGAGAAAGAGACACGACCGATTCTTTCAGGGAAAGAGGGGCCCTGTTGTTCGTACCAGACCACACCATTCGCTCTCGTTCTTGCAGATATCTAGATTCATTCCTCTAGATTCATTCCTCTCTCTCTCTCTCTCTCTCTCTGTGCATTGTTACACTTCACCATATCTTTACTGTTTTTCCCTTGGCTCCCGATACTTTTGCACCTTCCCCCATTTTTCTCCCTCTAAAAAAAGAAGAAATCCCCACATATAGTATATACCTTGCGCTCTCTCTCTCTCTCTCTCTCTCTCTCTCTCTCTCTCTCTCTCTCTCTCTACCACCCTGTTCTTCAGCAATGGCTACGTGGGTCTTGTCCCAATGTGGCCTGAAACCGCTCCCTCAAGCCATCCCCAGATCGCAACTCCAAAGGACACCCACGAAGAATAACAGATTTTTCCCGTCAAAGCATGTCCGTCTCGCAGATCTGAAGCTCCGCCCAACCGGACCACCGTGCGGGCCTCTCTTGCCGACCCGGGTGAGCGCCCCATTGCGGGTCTATCCGATCAGCGAGGAAGATGACGAAGGAGAGAAGAGAACGCGGAACGGGGTCGTCAACGAGGAAGGAGAAAGAGGAGGAGGAGGAGGAGAGGAGTTCTTCGACCCCGGGTCCGCGCCGCCGTTCAAGCTGGCGGACGTGAGGGCAGTGATCCCGAAGCGCTGCTGGGTGAAGGACCCGTGGAGGTCCATGAGCTACGTCCTGAGGGACGTCGCCGTCGTGTTCGGGCTCGCCTGTGGGGCGGCGTTTTTGAACAGCTGGGTCGTGTGGCCGCTCTATTGGGCCGCCCAAGGCACCATGTTCTGGGCCCTCTTCGTTCTCGGCCACGATTGGTACGGCCTCTGGCTCGGTCTCTTGCGTAGCAATTCGTATCATGTCATCATATATCATGCAGATTATCGTTATTATAGTTTGTGTTGGGTGTGTCTTCGGTTTGGTGGTGCCGCCTTTGAGTCGCAGCGCGATGCGTTATCGAGTTGCCTATGGAGATTCGGAACGTTGTCTGATATATTGCTTTTGAAACCGACGCAGTGGGCACGGGAGTTTCTCGAACGATCCCAAGCTGAACAGTGTGGTGGGGCATCTACTTCATTCCTCCATTCTCGTGCCTTACCATGGATGGTAAGCTTCAAGTCACCAACCTTTACGACTTTGCTTAGTTTCGTTTAATCCAGGTCTAAAATCATTAGGTTCATTGTCATAATTTATATAAACGGATTCTTTTATAGGAATTACGTGACTCTTCTCTCATAAGAAGCTCGGTAAATTTGAAATAGTTAGAATTTAGAATGAGTATAGTCAATAACTTAATAATGCGACTCGTGATGTGACTAACAATTTCAAACGTCACTTCCTTTTGCATTGAATTTGACAGGAGAATTAGCCACAGAACTCATCATCAGAATCACGGGCACGTCGAGAATGATGAGTCATGGCATCCGGTTAGTCATCTGCCTCTTTGTCCTGCCTTCTACTTTTTTCTTTGTTTTTGCTTTTTTTTTTCCTTCATTTTCTCAATTATTGGTATCATAATTTCGAAGTTGAATTCGATTTCTTCCTTCTTGCAGTTATCAGAGAGAATCTACAAGAGCTTGGACGCCATTACAAGGACTCTCCGCTTCGCGGTCCCTTTTCCCATGCTTGCCTACCCCTTCTATCTCGTGAGTGTTCGACACGTGCTCCCCAAGATGATCTCCTTCTTGTTGCTTGTTCTGAATCAACAACATTAAAGGATGAAAAAGGAGGGAGAGAGAGAAGCAATGTCCTACGAAAAGCCTTTCAAATTGCCTGACTTTATTCCTGACGTGATAGATCATAGACCCGACAGATTAACTATGAAAAAGAGTCCACCCTTTCATGGAGAAATCAGTGCTTTCTTTGAATGGTAGAGCCCGAGTTTGGAACTTAGATTATTCCGAGTAAGATTTGATGCGTTGATATTGATTTGTGATGTCACGATGAGCATGACCACTCGGGATTACAGATGATTCGTATATGCCTTTGTGATTGTGATTGACTGAAATCAATTCCAGTTCCTCGGGCCAGCAACATTGTCTGTAAACTTCATCTTCTACTTCTAAGATCTAATCCTGAATTTCCTTGGCGCATTCGGAAATAGGAAAAGTATTCTTGAATGTTGAAAGATCATAAAAAAAATGAAATTTTAAATGAGAGAATGGAGTCGTTAGGAATTGAGGTTCTCATGGCCCTGACATAGAGTAAATTTCACAGTGGAGCAGAAGTCCAGGGAAAAGAGGGTCTCACTTTCACCCGGAGAGCAACCTGTTCGTGGCAAGCGAGAGGAAAGATGTGATGACATCCACAGCGTGTTGGACGGCCATGGTGGGCTTGCTTGTGGGACTGTCCTTCGTGATGGGTCCTCTCCAGTTGCTCAAGCTCTATGGCATCCCTTATTGGGTAATCCCTCTTCCTCTTCTCCTCTTTCTAAATCATTATCTTCACTAACGTTTTGGTATAATAACTCCCGATTTGAAAACTCCGTGTGCTAAGCCACGTGGCGGTCTTTTGTTCAATGCGACCCAGTTGTTCAAAAGGTCTACTTACTGCTTCCCGTGTCCGTCCGTATCTGAGTTTTGTACACCAGTCTTAGTATTTCCGAGCATGCGACGAATTCTAATCGGAGTGTGCTTTCAATTGTCCTTATTCTCAGATTTTTGTGATGTGGCTGGACTTTGTGACTTACCTACATCACCATGGTCATGAAGACAAACTCCCTTGGTACAGGGGAAAGGTAATGTCATTCAATGAAAGAAAGCACCTTCCACCTTCTTTTTTCTCGTTTTTGGACCATAATTTCTTGAAGGTTGTCTCTTTCGCTTTTTCTGTTTTAAGGAATGGAGTTACTTAAGAGGCGGGCTCACCACGCTGGATCGCGACTACGGGTGGATCAACAACATTCACCATGATATCGGAACTCACGTCATACACCATCTTTTCCCTCAAATCCCTCACTATCACTTGATTGAAGCCGTAAGTTATACACATTTTCCCTCTTTTGGGTCGAAAAAAAATGGACCACGCTCTAATTGATAAAAATAGAAGCTTTGTTGCGTAAACGCAAATTTTGTGAGAATTATTGAAGTAGGTTCATCCTGTCACTGTCTGTGTTAGGCTAGATCAGATAATGCATATCTATGAAGTGTCAGGCTTCGATAATGATAGTCTCTTGTTAAATTTATGAGAGATACCTTTTTTATTTGCGATGATGCAGACGGAAGCGGCAAAGCCGGTGCTCGGGAAATATTACCGGGAGCCAAAGAAGTCGAGCCCGTTGCCTTTCCATTTGATCGGGATGTTAATACAAAGTTTGAAGAGAGATCACTACGTCAGCGACACTGGGGACGTCGTCTTCTACCAAACTGACCCTAAGCTTGGTGGTGGTGGCTCTTCAAGTTCTGATGCTAAGTGAGAAAGCTTTCAATGCAGCAGTTAAACAGACACCAAACAGGGAGTTTCAACTTCAATCACTGTTGAAGCCCAACTCTTGACACTTAGATGAAGCTTCGTATCAGATAAATCTCTGACGTTTCACTTGATTGAAGAAGCTGCGAGGACAAGCCACTCTTCGTTCCTGTACACAAGCCACTAGCATATGAGGCGGAGACAGAGAAAGATCATGATTGATATATATGGAACGCTTAACTTTGTGAATTAGCTTGTGATTGTAATATGTAAAGCAAGAAGTTGTAAATTTACTTTTGAAGAGGAATAATTCGTCTCTACATCCTCTTTTGTCCTGTGTCAAGAATGTCTAGGAATGACAATTGATGAAGATAATTTTCAGTTCTCCCTCCCTCTTCCACTCCAATCATACAAATCGAACTAATCTAAGAGGCCTTGGATTGCTTGGGTTGTCAACTGGGTCAGCATCGGATTTACTTTTGTTTGATATTAACATACATCAATGTCGGAAATGAATCAATCAGCCTTAGAGGTCAACAACATGAGTGTTCGACACGTGCTCCCCATCTTTTTCTCGTTGCTTATTCTGAATCAACAATATTAAAGGAAGAAAAAGGGGAGAGAGAGAAGCAATATCCTACAAAAAGCATTTCTAATTGCCTAACTTTATTCCGGACGTGATAGATCATAGACCCAACGATATATCACTGTTTGAATCGGACATGAATGCGCCTTTTCATGGAGTAATCATTGCTTGCTTTGAACGGTAGAGCTCGATTTTGAAATTTAGGCTATGTTCGTTTTACATAAAATAACTTGAAAAAAATGACACAAATAGTCCATGAACTTTGATCAAATGTTCAATTTGGTCCATGAATTTTTAATTTATTTAATGTAGTCCCTGAACTTTAACCTAATATTCAATTTGATTCCTGAACTTTTGATTTGTTCAATGTGGTTCCCGAACTTTTAATATGTATTCAATTTAGTCCTTGAACTATTTGAAAATGTTCAATATAGTCCTTCCATTAATTCAAGTGCAGGGACTATATTGAACATTTTCAAATAGTTCAGGGACTAAATTGAACACATATTAAAAGTTCAGGGACCACATTGAACAAATTAAAAGTTCAGGGACCAAATTGAACATTATGTTAAAGTTCAGGGACTACATTAAACAAATTAAAAGTTCAGGGACTAAATTGCACATTAAGTCAAAGTTCATGGACTATTTGTGTCATTAATATTTTTTGGTGTTCGATTAACGAAAAATAACTTCCCATGGAAAATATTTTCCTTCTTGCGAACAAAATACCTTCACTTTTGAGGAAAATGACTTCCTTTTTCTTAAATTCTTCTTCTTCTTTCACCATTTATTTCAATATTTTCTTTTTCTTTTTTTTTTCCCTTCTTCTTCTTCTTCTTCTCCCTTAGCCGGTTGCCGGCCATGGCGGTGGTCAGCAACTGGCCTTAGGCGAGCTCGAGCCTCACCACAGGCCGGCGAGGCTCGAGCTCGCCAGATTCCGATGAGGTTGAGCCTCGCCGGCCTGTGGCGAGGCTCCGCCTCACCTGATCCGGCCAGGCCGAGCTCGCCCGAGGCCGGCGAGCTCGGCCTCTCCGGATTGCCTTGCCACAGGCCGGCGAGGCTCGACCTAGCTAGACTTTGGCGAGCTCGAGCCTCTCACCTGAGGCCGGTCGTCAGTTGTCGTCGTGGCTGGCGACCTGCAGGAGAAGAAGAAGGAAAAAGAAGGAAAAGACAAAAAAAGAAAATTAAAATTTTTTTGAAAAAGAAAATTAAAAGTTATTAAAAGTATTGCAAGGAGGAAAATATTTTCCATACCAAACAATGGACAATATTTTCCGAGACTTTTTCAAATTTCAGCCGAACACCGAAAAATTGTGTCATTTTCCAGGAAAATGACTTCTTGGAAAATATTTTCCAAAAACGTAACATTTTTTACGAAACGAACGGAGCCTTAGTTTAATCCTTTTAAGAGTCGATGGGTCGATATCGATTCGTGATCTCACGACGGGCATGGCTACTCGGGATTATAGACTATTCGTATATGCCTTTGCAATTGTGATTGACTGAAAACTTCGTCTTCTACTTCTAAGATCTAATCCTGAATTTCCTTGGCGCATTCGGAAATAGGAAAAGTATTCTTGAATGTTGAAAGATCATAAAAAAAATGAAATTTTAAATGAGAGAATGGAGTCGTTAGGAATTGAGGTTCTCATGGCCCTGACATAGAGTAAATTTCACAGTGGAGCAGAAGTCCAGGGAAAAGAGGGTCTCACTTTCACCCGGAGAGCAACCTGTTCGTGGCAAGCGAGAGGAAAGATGTGATGACATCCACAGCGTGTTGGACGGCCATGGTGGGCTTGCTTGTGGGACTGTCCTTCGTGATGGGTCCTCTCCAGTTGCTCAAGCTCTATGGCATCCCTTATTGGGTAATCCCTCTTCCTCTTCTCCTCTTTCTTCATCATTATCTTCACAGACGTTTTGGTATAATAACTCCCGATTTGAAAACTCCGCGTGCTAAGCCACGCAGCAAACTTTTATTTCAATGTTCAATGCGACCCAGTTGTTTAAAAGGTCTACTTACCGCTTCCCATGTCAGTCTGTATCTGAGTTTTGTACATCAGTCTTTGTATTTCCGAGCATTCGACGAATTCTAACCGGACTGTGCTTTCAATTGTTGTTATTCTCAGATTTTTGTGATGTGGCTGGACTTTGTGACTTACCTACATCACCATGGTCATGAAGACAAACTCCCTCGGTACAGGGGAAAGGTAATGTCATTCAATGACAGAAGACACCTTCCACCTTCTTTTTTCTCGTTTTGGGACCATAATTTCTTGAAGGTTGTCTCTTTCGCTTTTTCTGTTTTAAGGAATGGAGTTACTTAAGAGGCGGGCTCACCACGCTGGATCGCGACTACGGGTGGATCAACAACATTTACCACAATATCAGAACTCACGTCATGCTCCATCTTTTCCCTCACATCCCTCACTATCACTTGATTGAAGCTGTAAGTTATACACATTTTCCCTATTTTGGGTCGAAAAAAGTGGACCCTGCTTTAATTGATAAAAATAGAACCTTTGTTGCGTAAATGCAAATCTTGTGAGAATCATTGAAGTAGGTTTGTCTCGTCAGTGTCTGTGTTAGGCTAGATCAAATAATGTATATCTATGAAATGTTGGGCTTCGATAATAATAGCGTTTCTTGATAAATTTCTAAGAGATACCCTTTTCTCTTTGGGACAATGCAGACGGAAGCGGCAAAGCCGGTGCTTGGGAAATATTATTAGGAGCCGAAGAAGTCGGGCCCGTTGCCCTTCCATTTGATCGGGATGTTGATACAAAGTTTGAAGAGAGATCACTATGTCAGCGACACCGGGGACGTCGTCTACTACCAAACTGACCCTATCCTTGGTGGTGGTGGCTCTTCTAGTTCTGACGCTAAGTGAGGAAGCTTCCAATGCTGCATTTGAAAAGACACCAAACAGGGAGTTTCAACTTCAATCACTGTTGAAGCCCAACTCTTGACACTTTGATGTAGCTTCGTATCAGGTGGATCTCGCACGTTTCAACACAAGCCACTAGCAGATGAGGGGGAGACAGAGAGACATACATACATATACATACATACATACATATATATATATATATATATATATATATATATATATATATATATATATATATAATATGGAACGCTTAACTTTGTGAATTAGCTTGTGTTTGTAATATGTATAGCAAGAAGTTGTAAATTTACTTTTGAAGGGGAATAATTCGTCTCTACACCCTCTTTTATCCTGTGTCAAGAATGTCTAGAAATGACAATTGATGAAGATAATTTTCAGTTCTCCCTCCCTCTTCCACTCCAATCATACAAATCGAACTTATCTAAGAGGCCTTGGATTGCTTGGGTTGTCAACTAGGTCAGCATTGGGTTTACTTTCCTTTGATATTAACATTCATTGATGTCGGAAATGTATCAATTAGCCTTAAGGTCATTTGATACTGTTTTTTCAAAGACTTCAACTATTGCGAAAATGAGTGCTATAACTTTTATGCGGTATTTGCTAAACACCTTGCAATCGGAGCTTACAGAATCTCCACAACTGCACTGCAACAGTTTCGAGAAATATACGAAGAGCCATCGTGTTAATAACATCTACAACACTTCACAAAAAAATTAAAACAAAGTTAAAACATAACCATAGTCATAGAACGATTCATACTGAGACATAATGTTCATCTTGATTGAACCCTGAATTACTCAAACTAGGTGTATCCAACACTAGTCTGATAGCCTCCCTAAGATGTTGTTATAGGCTCCCTTGAAATTGAAATCCAAATTCCTGGAAATGTGGACATTCAATTGGTTGAATGCACTTTCAAAGTTGTCTGAGCTTATCTTCTGTTAAATCGTCAATGAAAACATGCTTTCCACACACGACATTAAAACGCTCAATTGCTTCTCAAGAAATTGATGCTGGAATGTGTCGTGAGCTTAATTCATACAAGCGCACACATTTCTTATCCTGCTAATTTGCTTTTTAACTGCTACAAAAGAAGCTGTTCACAAAGAACTGACTACTGATAATGAAATGGAACCAAAGACTCGCTACATGCACTCAATCATCCGACAACAGCTCGTACATTCTTCAAGTTCGCACAACAAAAGCTCGTTCCATTTCAATGAGCAAAAGTTGTTGGTGATAAACTCGGCGAGTGATTGATACTGGTCATCAATTTGAATCATCGTTGCTGACGACATATCAGGATGCTGATTTTCCAGGAATATGAAGCATACGTTTGCTATTACGTTCCTGACGTTTCGGCCAAAACTGAACAAATTTGTGAGATCTTGGCAGCAGAAATTGCAGCTCCGATGAGAACAAGAAAACATGAACTTTACATTGTTATTGAGGTAACATGTCTGGTCTGTCACCGAGGTCTGGCAACCAACCAGAGGCTAGGGCAGGCGAGGTTGAGCTTGCCAGCTGTGGCGAGGCTCGACCTCACCTTCGTGGGCGAGGTCAAGCCTTGCCGTCGCTGGGCAAGGGTCGACCTCCCCAAATTTGGCGAGGTCGAGCCTCACCATGGTTGGGCGAGGTTGAGCTCGCCCTTGCCATCGTGGGCAAGGAGCCACGCCCAGATATGGCGAGGCTCGATCTCGTGTCACTTGGTGAGGTCGATCCTCCCCAATGGTTGGCGACGTCGACCTCGTTGCCCTAGCCTCTGGCCGGTCGTCGGACCTTGGCGACCGGCTAGGGTAAGAAGGAAAGAAAAAAAAAGAAAGAGAAAGAAAATAAAAAAGGAAAAAAAAGAAAAATAAATAAATAATTTGAAAAATTATTAAAAATTGTTCAC